TTCCAAAAATTCAAATTATATATGTATATATATATATATATATATATTTGTATTTATATAAAAAGATCAATAATGGCAGTATGTTATACATCAATAGCAGCAACAGCTTTTCCAGGTTCTGCAGTCATTTGAACAAAATTGTAGAAACATCCAGCACACTCCATTTAAAAAAAAAAAAAGTTCTGTTACTCTTGTGGTACCTGGCACCATTTTTTTTTTAATTAGCTTCTCAATCATCATCTAGAAGGAAACCATTCTGAGCAACATCATTAAAAACAGCTCTGATAAAGCACGGTCACTACTATGTATCATAAAGCAGGTCCATATATGAGTGAATACATATCATGTTTGTCTTTTTGTGATTGGAAATACATTGGTTTTATAGCTGAAAGATAAAACTGAAATTGACAATGGATTGTCCTTGTAGCTGGGGATTGGGTTTTTGTTTTCCATAGAAAAAGCTGCCAAGTCTTCAGAGAACCACATCATATGAAAATTTATCTTTTAGATCAATGAACGTGGCTTTATAAATTTTACATATAAAATGTTACCAGCTGTGATTGATGATACAGGCTACTGGTGGAGGCTGAGGTTCTGCCTCAGGGTCAAAGTTGACCTGGGCTATCTGGGCTATACATTTAATTCAAGGCTAGCCTGGGAAACTTTCTAAGTCCTTGTCACAAAGATAAAAGTAAAATAAAGGCTGAGAATATAGATTTCTGGTAGAGAGCTTGCTTACACTGGACAGGCCCTAGCATTCAATACCCACTACTGAAAAAAAATCCAAACTTTGCCATTTGTACCATTATACATCATAAAGAAAGTGCAATAACTTAAAGGAAGTTGTCGTCATCATCTTTACTTTTTTTCCTGTTTGGAGGAATGCTTCAGATTCTATCAGATGGGGTTGGAGTGGAAGAATGCCTATGTAACATGTACAAAAATTCCAGGAAAGATGATATACCTCCGGATGAATCTTCTGCAAGGTTGATTAACAGTTTAGAGCTACAATGATTGTGCAGTATTTGGAATGCTGCAATCCCAGAGCCAAATGATCTTGGTCCACCTTTAGCCTTCTTAATAGCTAGCCATTTATTGTTCTCCTTTGTATTAAACACATTTTTGTGACCATTTGGTAAATCATTTGGAATGTACAGGCAGCACTAGCTTTCAATAAACTAAAAAGCTAAGGATAATGTCAGCACCTTAGGCATATGAGAGTGAAAGACCCCTAGAGGCTCAGGCCCCCAGGATCTCAGTCCAGGACTGAGGCCACCCCAATCACCATGCGGAGGCGAAAGCTTGATGCAAACAGCAAGAGGCTTTATTGAAGTTGTTTAATGAGCTAACCCCATGTTATCTCAGGGTTTTCACCCATCCACCATGGCGGATGGCTAGGGAAGACACTGCGAAGCCACTGCATAGAGATCTTATAGGGCAGTATAAGGGGAGTGTCTAGGGGTACACACAGGCTCAGGATTGGTGTGCCTCCAGACTTGCCCTGTGTTGATTGGTCAACTGGTTGTTATGGCCCATTAGGCCCTCCCAGGGTGATTGCTATGCTCTGTGCATCATTGCTGTTCACTTGTCCATAAAGCACAGCTAGAGCCGTAAAGCATAGCACCACCAGCTAACTTCTGATTGGTTCCTTGCCACAGGGCAGGCATCTGACCTCCTAGTGACCAAGGCATTTGGGGTGATCTAAATCTCTGTTCCCAGGCCATGCTTACTGATATTTGCCTTCCAAGCCTGTTAAAGTGAATTGTTTTTTGTCTGTTGTTCTTTTTTGTTGTTGTTGTTGACATTAGTATTTCCCACAATGTCATGCCAGTGGTCCACTTGAAATACTCTCATTTCACTTAAATAATGCACAGATCATCATTTTGTAAGACAATGAACACACACAAGCCACCTACCTTTCATACTATGCCAACAGAATCACAAAATGAACTACTCTTGGAAGGTTGGCTGTCAGTGTTTAAAACATTCACAAACACATCTAGCAATTCTGATGGTTTACAGCACACCATATTATGTTTGTTTGGCTCAGCACCACCACTAGCTTCCTATTTTAGGTGCAGGTGAAGCGGCAACAGTTAAAAGACTACTTCAGTAGTATTTTTGTGGTCTTTCACATAAAGGGACCAGCTTCCCTTTTGGCAGCCATAATGACCTTGTCCCAGACACTAGAAAGTCAGATGCCTGCCTCGTGACAAGGAACCAATCAGAAATTAGCTGGTGGCGCTATGCTTTACGACCCTGGGTGTGCTTTACAGACAAGCGCACAGCAATGACTTGGAGAGCATAGCAACCACCCTGGGAGGGCCTATGGGCCATAACAACCAGTTGACCAATCAACACAGGGCAAGCCCTCCAAGCCTGGAGGCACACCAATCCTGAGTCTGTGCGTACCCCTAGACACTCCCCTTCCGCTGTCCTATAAGATCTCTTGGGAGGCCCTAGGAGCGTCTTTTGCTAGCCATCCGCCATGGCGGGTGGGTGAAAGACCCGAGCTAACATGGGGTTAGCTCGTTAAATTACAATAAAGCCTCGTGCAGTTTGCAGCAAGCTCTGGAATCTGCCTGGTGATTGGGGTGACCGCGAACGTGGCCTAGGACCCCAGATACTTGAGTTTTCGGGGGTCTAACACACGGTACAGGAACCACCTCTACCTTGGCTGTTACTGATGCACACACAACCCTAAGGCCGAATTTCCCTTTATAAAGTTTTTCTTACAGTGTCTCCTTCAATTTCCCGAGAAAAAACGCAAGTGGCCACAGCTGCCACCTCACCTTACACCAGTGCTGGACCATTCTCAGCAATAGAGTTGTAAGACTGTCCTATTTTATGGCTTTCTTCTACTAAGTGATGAAAATGTCTTTAAACACTAGAAAATAAGGTGAGAAAGGGAAATTGTGTTCTTCCTCAGATTTCTAGGACTCAGGGTCTCCACACACCGAGGTTCCTAATTACAAACATAGGGCATCTCAGAGGAAATGAGCTCCTCCTTCTAGGGGAGGCCCTTTAGGCATTATCTCATATAGGGTGGGCGAAGGAGGCTCAGACCTCAGGGGACAGACAGCCTTATGGTTTTGGGCAGTGGCAGGAAGAAATCTTTCCTCTGCAGCGGGCAGGGAACCTTTAGCCAAGTGGCTCACTTGAAAGACCTCGAGGTTTTCCCGCGCAACCGCCCTCGGGGCGCGGAAGAACCCGGATGGAACCTCCCCAACACTCCACTGCCTTTGAATCGCTGCATGGGGCGGAGCTCCCCACCCTCTAGCACCCTGATTGGTTGGTATTTAGAGATTCTTCATTCCGATTGGACAATCTCAGTGCCGATCACAAAACGTCACTGGCCTCTCAGACTGTTGCTGAAGTAGTGGGAGTCGGCTTCTAAATAAACCCGCGTCTGGAGCGTCGCTTCTTCGCGGTTCGCATCTGGTTCCCGGTCCCTGGGCCGCGAGACCCTGAGGGACTTTTTCAGGCGGCCTGAGAAAGTCCGGGCGCCCAGGGCATCCCGAGGTCACCCCGCCCGGCGCCATGTCCTGGATGTTCAAGAGGTGAAGGGCTGAGGGGGTGGGGCGTGCGGCCCGGGGCCCCGCGCCGTCTTCAGTGAACCCGCTCCCGGCGGGCGGACGATAGATAGATAGATAGATAGATAAGATAGGTGCGGCTTGGATGCCCTCCCCGGGTCGCTTGCACGTGTGGCTTGCGCAAAGCGTTGTCTCGGCTGACCCGAGAATCTGCTGCCAGCACCTCGGGAGGTCTCCATCACCGGTTGTGGGGGTCCAAAGCTCCACCCGAAGAGCTTTATTCATCAGAACACCCATTGGCTACCCACTGTGCTCTAGGCATTGTTGTCTCGCCATACGCTAGGAATTGTTACCGTGACAGCTCCGAGACAGCCCGACACCCGGTCTCTCACAGTAGTGAGCAGGAGCCTGTGCTTGCAGAGGAGAGCTGAAGCGGGGACTCCCAAAGGATAGCCCCGTGTGCTTTTAGGGGAAAGACAACTTGTAGAAGGCTTCCAGCAAACATCACTTGATCACCTGCAGCGGTTTTTATGCCCACTCCTGTAATAATGATCCTTAAGATTGGTTACCTTTAAAATAACAGGGTGATGGATAGATAGGTAAGGGGGCCTGCAGGTCAGCTTCCTATGATGTCATAGTTTAGATAGCTGTTCTGCAGGAGTTAAAGCTGTGAATGCTTTATGTCGAAGGCTAAAGATATTTTCATAGCCAGACGATGGGGCGCACGACCTTAATCCCACCTCTCAGAAGGCAGAGGCAAGCAGATCTCTTGAGTTCAAGGCCAGCTTGGTCTACAGAGTGAGTTTCTAGGTGAGCCAGGGCTACACAGAAACCCTGTCTCGAAAAAAACAAAAAGAAAAAAAAAACATATACAATGGTAATTTTGTTTTTATAAATCTCTTCTTCATTAGTTGGCATTGAAGATTTTGACATTTTAATGTAAATAGATTTCCGCAGGAAAGAATTTCCAGTATTTAACAGGTCAGATTTGGTAGCTTTACCTACTCGGCTCTTGCTTTAGCCAGGGTAATTGTTAAGTGGTATTTGCCACATAACATTTCACTTGCTAAAATAAAATGTAAGGAAGTGATTGGCCTGAAAATACTGTTTGACTGTGTTCTTTGAGAAATACTTGGTTAAGTTCTGTTTTTTTTTTTTTTTGTTTGTTTGTTTGTTTTTGGTTTTCGAGACAGGGTTTCTCTGTGTAGCTTTGGAGCCTATCCTGGTACTCGAGCTGGAGACCAGGCTGGCCTGGAACTCACAGAGATCCGCCTGTCTCTGCCTCCCAAGTGCTGGGATTAAAGGCGTGTGCCACTAACTCCCCGAAAGTTCTATTGTTTTAATGTATGCTTTGTTTTTGTTTTTGTTTTGTGTTTTTTTTTTTTTAATAGGGATCCTGTTTGGAAGTATTTGCAGTCTGTCCAATATGGAGCCCATGGAAATTTTCCAAGACTTTCATATCCAACTTTCTTTCCACGTTTTGAGTTCCAAGACGTTATCCCTCCAGATGACTTCCTAACTAGTGATGAAGAGCTGGATCCCATTTTATTTGGAACTTTGAGAGGTCAAGTTGTTGGACTGCGCTATTACACAGGAGTAGTGAGTATAAGAGTAGATACTAAATAAAATTGTTGTATGCATATGGTTTTAACCGTAAATTATATTAAATGGTGACATATTATGTATACATATATACAATTAATGTTTTACTTTGAGTGACTGAAATATGTCACTCAAAGGCTTGTTCTAAATACCTTTACCATCTTTGATTAATTTTGTACATTTGTACCATGCTTACAGTATATAAAGCACTTTTGCCCATACTGACATTTGATTCTTGTAATTACTGAGGTTCTCTTCCTTAATGGAAGGTAGAGATGTAGATGGTTAAATGATTTGTCCCAATGAAGAAAATATATGCTGAATTTAGGAAGCAACTTCGAATCTATCAATTTTTATTAGATAAGTTATTTACTTTTGAGTTCTTTATTTTTGCAATAGAATAGCTCCTGCTCTTTCTTCGATTTATTCCTGTTCTCTAATTGATTGTGTGTGTGTGTGCTCGTGAGAAAAAGAGGACAGATTGAGAGTATATATATATGTGTGTGTATGTATTATATATATATAATTTTGTGCACTGTAATCTTCATTATGGCCATCTTTGTTATTTGGGTAATACTTCTAATATCCAGTTTATCATGAGAAAATTTCAAACATAAAATTAGAGTAAGTCAGAGGTTATCAAGTATTTTCTATATTTGTTTTATTCTTTTTTCTTTATCTTTGTAAAAACAAATACTAAATTTTATATTAGTATAGTTCAGTATATATTTCTTTAAAATTCAGTTTGTGGGCTGAAGAGATGACTCAGCAGTTAAGAACATTTGGCTGCTTTTGCAGAGGACTGGAGTTCTGTTCACTCATGGCTGGCCACTGACTACTCCCTTTACAGTTCCAGAGGTCCTGTGCCCTCTTCTGGCATACATGGGTACTCATACATACCCCCATATAGAATACATAAGTATACATGATTAAAAATAAAATACATCTTAGTTTTTATGTTTCATTTTCATAGCAATCAATAATTGGATTCTGTTGATTATTAAAACTGTATTTTTATCAGGCTCAAAACAGGGTTAATATATTATCTTTGGCTGTTATGGGCTGTAAGGTCCACTCTTGTTTCCTGTTACATATTTGTGTGTCAAAAACAAGGTCTGTTTTTCGGAATCTTGTTGATTTTGTTACTTTTCCCCTTCCCTTGTATCTTTATGATAAAGCTTGTTAAATGGTTTCTTGTTGTTCTTGGGGGAAGGGGTTTGACTCTACAGCCTAACCTGGCAAGCACTAAGTAGTCCAGGTTGACCTTGAACTCATAGTGAGCTCACAGTGGTCCACTTGTCTCAGCCCTCTGAGTACTTGATGGTTTCAGAACTTTTTTTTTTTTTTAAGATTTATTTATTATTTATACAGTGTTCAGCCTGCACCCCAGAAGAGAGCACCAGATCTCATTATAGGTGGTTGTGAGCCACCATGTGGTTGCTGGGAATTGAACTCAGGACCTCTGGAAGAGCAGCCAGTGCTCTTAACCTCTGAGCCATCTCTCCAGCCCCCAGAACTTTTTTTTTTTTTTAATTGAAGTAAGTTATCAGGAGATACTTTGTGGGAATTCTGTGTTTCCCATTTGTCTTGTTTTTCATTCTCTGTATTTTTTATGTTGAAACATCTCGTATTGTTTAGTAGTTATATAAGATGTCCCATCTAGGAGATTACTTAGGAAAGAACAATTTCTTGAGTTTTTATAAATTCATAATTTTCATTTTCTACTTGAGAGTTTGGCTAAACATAAAATGTATGATCCATGTTTTTTCCCTGTATCCTAATGCTGCACAGGATATTGTTAGTGAAACTTGATGCAGCAGGATTTTCTTCCCCACTTAACTGAATTGGAAAATTGGAATTTCTTTTTGCCTGATGATTAAAAGATATTCTTATTTTAAAAGTCTAATAATTTCATTAGAGTATTTGTTCTATAAATTTGTTTCCTTCTATTTCAGAAAAAAATCTATAATTATAGTTTTAAATGTTTGTTTTATTTCAAAGTCATTTCCTTTTTAGAAACTCCATTTTCTCTCATTCACTTCCTCTTTCTGACTTGATCTCTTTGCTGTTATCTCTATACTACCTATATATACTGTCTTCTACTGCCTCTGAATATTTTTTACTATAATTTTTCATTTTTCTGTTTTCCCTCTATCATTTATTTTTCTTGCCATGTTTTTCAAATGCTTTGTTAAGACGTGTTAATTTTACTCCAGTCTTTGCTCTTGAAATATTTTCCTTTTTTTCTAGTTCTTTCAGCAATTTATTCATTCTTTTTTGTTTGTTTTGTTTTTTTGTTTGTTTGTTTGTTTTTCTGAGACAGTGTTTGTCTGTGTAACAGTCCTGGCTGTCCCGGAACTCGATCTGTAGACCAGGCTGGCCTCATACTCACAGAGATCCACCTGCCTCTGTCTCCCGAGTGTTGGGATTAAAGGTACCCCCCCCACACAACCCATTCTTATTTAGTATCTAACTGCTCTTTGGTTCTCACATCACTTTGAGTTGTATTTTAGATTTGTTCTATTGCTAAATTTACATTGTTTTCTAAATTACAGCTTTGTGAAGTATTAGATTATAGTTATTAATCCCATAACAGTTACTTATGTTGAGCTTAGAATAATCTCTATAACACTAGTTAACTAATAAGAATATATGCTGATTAGGCTGGGCAGTGGTGGCACATGCCTTTAATCCCAGCACTTGGGAGGCAGAGACAGGCTGATCTATGTGAGTTCGAGTCCAGCCTGGTCTACAGAGCAAGTTTCAGGACAGCCAGAGCTGTTACACAGAGAAACCCTGTCTCAAAAACAAACAAACAAACAAAACAACAAAAGACAAAGAATATGTGCTGATTAAATATTTAGCTCATTTTTCCACTGTATAGTATTTGTAGGTAATACCTTCATTATTTTTAAAATAGATAAAATGCATTGAATTTTCATATCATAACTTACTTTCTATATTCTATACTTGTTTTCTGTAAATGTCAATATATAAATTAAAATCATATATTAATAAAAATAAATCTGAACAGAAAGTGGTTAGTTACTCCTGTAGTGTTCATGCCACTGTTGTACCTAAGGACATTTCTTGCTATGCCAGTAATTATTCCAATTCATGTGGTTCACAGCTGGATAAGACTGCTGATGACCACCCCCCCAAGCTTCCATAGCACCTGCCCTTATGTCAAAGCTAGTCAGCAGGGAATAAATTAGTACCAACTTTATTTCTCTAGACCCTGTGACCAGTATGTTGTCCTCACACTTGTCTTAACCATAAAGTTCTGCAGGGCAGCCAAGAGCCAAGACAATACACTGTATTGTTTTGGAAGTTTCTGGGACACCTTGAAGTCCAGAACCCCATACCTGATACTGTACTTTAAATTTGGCAAACTAGCGATTCTGGGATGAGCATAGTCCCCTGAATAGGGTAACTCTAATTAAATTTTTTTATTTGGGGAAAAAAAAATCACACACACACACACACACACACACACACACACACACACACACACACACACACGGTTTCTCTGTGTGTGTGTCACACGGTTTCTCTCTCTCTCTCTCTCTCTGTGTGTGTGTGTGTGTGTGTGTTTTTCATATATCCATCACCCATCATGTTAATTGTCTTTCCCCTCACTCTTCCTCTGCTCTATCCTCTCATCTCTCTCCCCAGTTAAACTTCCTAGTTATTCCACTTTTCCCTTTCATATCAGCTGATTTCTTTCTCCCACCCTTACCCATTGTCCCTCTCTGGTTCCCTGGATTGTATAGGTACTCCAAATTAAACATACACATCTAAAGACTTGACACTAAGATCCACGTATGATTGAGACCATGTAATGTTTGTGTCTCTGGGTTACTTCACCCAGTGTAATGTTTTCTAGCTCCATCTCTTAACCTGCAAATTTCATTTTTATTTACAACTCAATAAAATCCCATTTTATATAGGTACCACATTTTCACTTGTTATCACTTGATGGATATATAGGATATTTCCATGTCCTAGCTATAATGAATAGAGTAAATATGAACATAGATGCACGTGTGTCCCTGACCCAATCATACCATTTTGGGGCCACATGTCCAAAGATTAGCTATAACATGGGTTAATGAAAGACCTAGAGACTGATATTAGGGTTCAAACTTCAAGCTGAATATCAGAAAAGCAAAGCAGCTGGCTTTCTAGCTTCTTACCTCTACCTCAGGCTGAAAGGGCTGATCCTGTCTCCATGAGCTTTCACCAAGCCTCAGACTGTAACCTCTCCTCAGCCAGGCTGGAGAATGAATGGGTCTACTCACTTTGCTTCTGTCTTCTATTACTTCCTTGATGTTGGGATTAAAGGTCTGAGCTATAATTCTCTTTAGGACTGGATCACTCTTATGTAGATCTGGGTGGCCGTGGACTCAGAGGTCCATCTACCTCTTAATCCTGAGTCCTAGGATTAAAGGTGTGTGCCAGCACCTCCTAGCTTCTGACTGCTGGGATTAAAGGTGTGTGCCTGGTTTCTATCGTGACTGACTTTGCTTTCTGAATCCTCAGGCAGCTTTAATATCTGAATCCTCAGGCAGCTTTAATAAATCATGAATAATATATCACTACAATTAGCTGTTTTGAAAAAAATGCAGGTAGTATGAATCCTTAAGGTAGACTTAGATGTACCTTTTACATTGTAAAGACTTATTAGCTTCTAATGAAAATAAATTAGAAAATGTAGAAAAATCATTGTAAAATATATTACTTACTATTTCTGGTTTGAGCTGGGCCTGTGGCTCAGTTGATAGATTGCTTTGTAGTCTTTACCAAGCCCCTGGGTTCAATTTCCAACATAACATAAACAAAGTGGTAGTGCATATTTGTAGTCTCAGCACTCAAGAGACAGAGGCAGAAGGATCAAAGTTCAATACCATCTTTGACTCCAGAGCAAATTTGAGGCCAGCCTGGGATACATGAGACCCTGTCTCAAGAAATCACGCAAGCAAGCAAGCAAGCAAACAAAAAAACCAAAGAAAAATTAACAATAATGCATGAATGGAAATTGTAGAAACAGTACAAGGAAGTCAAGCTATTACTGTTCATTTTTATATTACTATCTGTTTCTTATTTTTACTAGGTAAATAATAATGAAATGGTTTCTTTACAACGAGAGCCTAATAATCCATATGATAAGAATGCAATTAGAGTAAATAATGTGAATGGAGATCAGGTTGGCCATTTAAAGAGAGATCTTGCAGCTGCCTTGGCCTATATCATGGACAACAAATTGGCACAAGTGGAAGGGTATGTGCTTCTAGAGTTGTTTAAGTAACTGTGATTTTCAGTTATCTTTGATTATCTAAGCATTTCCTGAGCCTCTGGAAGTGTCATTGGCACCTTCCATCTCTGTACTTCTGATGTGTTCAGTTTTCTTCTTTGCCTTTCCTTTCTAGCCATCAAAGAGTTGTACTCTTATTTTCTTACTAAATTGTTACCATTTAGAAAAACAGACTTGTGTTTACATACTAGGGAGTATATCCTTATCCTGTCTCTTGCAGTTGTACCCAGTTTAAACTCATGGTAATCTTCCCACTTCAGACGCAGGATAGGCATGCATTACCAGGGACATCATGGTGGTGGGGTGTTTTGTCTTTTTGGTTATTGTTTTGAGACCGGGTTTTGCTAGTACAACCTGGCCTTGGACTGCCAACCCTGCCTTAGCCTCCTATTGTACTAGAACTAGAAGTCTATATGCCATCATGCTTAGCTCACTTGCATGTTTTTTGAGTTTGCTTCATTTCTTACGGGAAATGAAATCAGGATATTCTATATTTTTCATATAATAATTTTATCTCTGATATAATATAGTATTTATCTCTGATATAATATATCTCTGATATAGTAAAACTTACTAAGAATTTTCTTTTGATAAATGATAGGTCTGGCATGTGGTCTCCATTGACTGGGACTTAGGAAGTGGCTGCCCTTTAGCTAGGGCATATATTCTGTCAGTTTCTTCACCATTTTGCTTCTCATTGCTAGAACTTCATTTTCATTCTGGTTACTTGTTCTCTGTGAGTGTTTGTGTTTGTGATCTTAGTGTAAATATTTGGGTTAGTTATACCATAATCCTAATGCTTATCGTATTCATCCTAGCCGATTTGGAAGATAAAATAAGTGGTTAGGAATCGTCTTTGCTTTTTCCTTTATAACCATTTTCAGTTGAGAATACATTTTTACAGGATGCTGAATGCTAAAACTATCCTCTCAAATAGATGCATTATTTTGTTTATTTTGCAGTCTTGTATGTGAGCTATCTTTTGTAAACTACTTTATGCTGTCATCTCAAGTTCTTTTGACATCCTGTTATTAAAAAATTACCTTTTCCTTCTGATTGTTGATTTTCTTTTTCAATTTTTCAAATTTGCTTAAATAATCTGTTCTTGTTTTACATTTTTGTGTTTCAGTAATATATTCAATATATTCAGATTACTATAAAATAACTTTTAATCTCTCATTTTCCCCTTACTATAATAGGGTAGTTCCTTATGGTGCAAATAATGCTTTTACCATGCCTCTTCATATGACTTTTTGGGGAAAAGAAGAAAATAGAAAAGTGGTTTTAAATCAATTGACAAAACATGGATTTAAATTGGGTCCCACACCAAAAAGTAAGTTTGATATTGTAAGATGCAGGGATTGTAAAGTAATTAGTCTCTTTGAACTTGGTTGGCTAAAGTAATGTATGCAAAATACTCTAAGCTGTAACCTTTTTTTCAATCTTTTGAAGAAATTGCTGACTTTTCTTTTTATATTTCTATTAAAATATAATCATGTATCATTTAATAACAGAATAGATTCTAAGGAATATATCAATGTATTGATTTTTTCATTGTGTAAATGTCATAGACTACTCATATAAAATGAAATAGTTCAGATACAGAAGTGCATGTTTGGAACTATAGATTCATTCATAAATAAAAATACACAAGGAGGGTCAATGTATCCTGTTTAATTTTCCCCAATGTTAACATAATTCTTCATTTTAAGCATTTGTTTTTATAACTTTTGGGTAAGAAGATTTGCTCTGTAGGGAGGTAAAAAGAACTTGATGTTTGCTTAGAATTTACTCAAATAATATGTGATTATTTAATAATGTGATTTTTCTTTCTTGTGGGAATGATTTAGTATTTAGTTTTAATTTTGTTTTAGGCTTAGGGATATAGTTTAGTGGTAGAAAACTTATTTATATTATGTTTTGTTTTATTTTTTATATTCTTTTCAGTTCTGGGGACTATCCAGTGACAATTACTCTGCCACTGAGCTCCACCCCCAGATCTGTGAGAATTTTTAATACTGTTTGATATTTATGTTTATTTCTGGTACTTAATCTCTTTTCTTTTTTTTTTTTTTTTTTCAATTTGGAAACTGTAGATGCAGGATTGAGTTTGGAGAATAGTTGGAGCTCTGGAAGAGCTGGACCCAGCCATAATACACCAGTTCATGTTGCAGTACAGATGACAACTGAACAGGTAAGCATTTTGTTGTTGTGTGTTCATTTTTATCTTGAGTCAGCGTCTCATGTAGACTTACTCAAAGTCATTTTTGTCTTGGGGTTGCTATTGCTGTGGAGAGACACCATGACCATAGCAACTCTTATAAAGGAAAACATTTAATTATATGGCTTGCAGTTTAGGAGTTCAAGTCCATTATCATGGTAGGACATGGTGGCGTATGGACAGACATGGTGCAGGAGAGGTAGCTGAGAATTCTAGTCTTGCACAGGCAATAAGAAGTAGTCTGTCTCACTGAGCATGACTTGAGTATATATATGAGAACTCAAAGCCTGTCTCCACAGTGACATACTTCCTCCAATAAGACCACACCTACTCCAACAGGTCCAGTCCTTTTGGGGGCCAATTTTTTTCAAACTACCACAGCTGTGTAGCTGAGAATGTCCTTAAACTCCTTGTCTTCCTGCCTCTGATTCTCAGATATTGGTATTATAGATATGCTTTTATTTTGTACTGCAATATAAATTTTTAGTGATAGTTTGCTGTTTAAAAGAACAGGATAAATATGTGCATTCTGGTATTAGTGATCTTTAGGTATGCTGTTAAAATTATAATGAAAACTACTGTATAACATACAGAATTTAGATATTAATTTGCAAACATAATCTTACAAAGCAGTGATAAGAACTATAGTCATCAGCTGGGCGTTGGTGTCATACACCTTTAATCCCAGCACTTGGGAGGCAGAGGCAGGTGGATCTCTGTGAGTTTGAGGCCAACCTGGTCTACAGAGCAAGTGCCAGGATAGGCTCCAAAGCTACACAGAGAAACCCTGTCTCGAAAATCCAAAACACACACAAACAAAAAACTATAGTCATCCCTTATAATTCACAGAAACTGGAATCATTCAGTCTCTTATATATAAAAAAAAAAAAATGGTATTTTTGTATAGAATCATTGCACATCTTACATATTTTAAACAATTTCTAAATTAATTAATCTGTTATATGTATAAAAGATATGTAGTAGTTAGAGTATATTTAGGGAACAATTACAAGGGAAGTCTGTATAGAGGCTTAGTTCATACATAAACATTGTATGACTCACTATATTTTTGATTAGCTAGATCTATGAAAAGGAGGGTGGATTCACATATATGCAGTTATACATACATAAAATCACACTGTGTATGTAGTGTTTTTGTATTTTAAATTTTCAGAATGTCCACAGTGGTAGTAAAAACACTAGAATATGAAAATTATTCTCGTTCTTTAGTTAGGTTGCTAATTCAATCTTAAAAAACTTAAAATCTCTGATATTGCTCTACTTATTTTGTTTAATTTGTCATCCAGTATGTTGTTTCACCAAATTTCTCTATAAAAAAATATAGTGCTAATGTTCATGTAAATAATTTAGACAATAACATTAAAACATTTTTATGACTGTTTTTCCCCTAGTAGATTTAGACAAAAGCATTGAAACATTTTATATGTTTATCCACTAGAGGTATTCTTTTTATTTCCCAGTTACAGTTTTCCCTGCCTGTTGAAAGGGCATGAGGTTGTGCCTGATGGGCAAACCATAGGCCACTTCTATTAAGCTGGCATGATGTTTTCTAGATGACTGCTATGCATTCATATGCTAATTTGTAAAATTATAAGACATATGTAAGACATATATAAGAAATTGTAAGACATATGGTGTAAGTTGCTGTAAAATAGAACTACATCAGTTTAAATGATCAGCTAAATTAGCCTAATAATGGAATTATCCTACCATTTTGTAGAACATAGCAAGTTACATGTATCTAGTAGGTTTCCCAAAATAGTTTAAATGCTAGTTCTAATGGAAGAGAGAGGGAATTTATTTCATGTTCTGATTTTATGAAAATAAGATACAGGCCACAGTTCTCTGCCTAAATATGCAGGGTCATTTGTGATAGGACTGTGACTGGCATCTTTTGACTTCATTACTGTCCTTTCAGTAGCATTAGGATTGGGCCTTATAAATGCTTGGGCTAGTGCTCTCTCAGCAGGCTATAGCCACGGTCCTTTGTAGCTCTGTTGTTACTCATTGAAATGAGTACATTTATTTCTATAGGAAAATCATCTTGTAGTGCTTTTCAGTGAGTAGTTTACTATCTCAGGTACTTATTTATGTACACTTGATCATTTGACTTGTTCAATGAAAATGATTTGAAATCTGAATTACATGCAATTTTCACTTCTATTAGTTTGTTCAGTGTTAATTATTTTTTTAACTGTAGCTCAAAATGGAATTTGACAAATTATTTGAAGATTTAAAAGAAGATGGTAAAACTAATGAAATGGAGCCAGCTGAGGTACAGAACCTGTATATTTTAAAAAATTGCTTTATATCATATATAAAGTTTTATAATAACATTGTTCTTCAGGTATGCACTATACTTTGAGTTTGGTTATATTCATACCCTATTACCTTCTCCTTTCTGTCTTGAGTATTTCTGTGTAGTCAGCCTTCTGTTTTCATGTCATATATGTTGCTAATATGTATATATGGATATTTATACACACACACACCCTAAGTTCCCAATATGAGAGAACACATATAACATGGGTCTGGCTTTGTTTCCAGGCCTGGCGTTTCCTACAAAATAATAATGATCCCGTTCCATCTGTTTTTCTATAAGACACATAATTTTGTGCTTTATGGACGAATGAAACTTTACTGCGTAAATATATTGCAATTTTTTGGTCTAGTTTTTGATGGGCCCCTAGGCTGATTGCTGCTGCTGGTACTGTTTTAATGCCACATTAAACTTAGAAGAGCTTACTCACAGAGGTATTATATGGTAGTTCTATTTCTAGGAACCTCCATACTGATTTTTATAGTGGTGGCACTAGCTTACATTTCCACTAGCAAGTTCCCTTTCTCCTAAGGCCATGTGAACATTTTCTGTTTGTTTTTAAAATGGTATTTATTCTTACAAAGGTGAGATGCATTCTTAGTGCAAAGGTAAGGACATTGGGCATTCTTTCACATATCTATTGCTATATGTATTTTTTTGAGAAATGCTTGTTTTCTTCATTTCCTCATTTGCTGATAGACAATTTCAATTTCAAAAAAAGATTTTAAAAACTCAAGTAATAATTTCAAGAACTGACCAATGGTATTGGGTAAAATAAATGCTTCTGCATAGTAAAGGAAGCAGTTAATGGGCTGCTGAGATAGTTTAGAACATTAGTCTCTGCCAGATTCATGTCTGTTTTGGGGTTAATATCTAGAAAGTATAAAGAACTCAAAAATGTAAATCAATATTTCAAATGTAAAGCTTCAGAATTATTAACTGTCTTGGTAATTTATACATTTTATACTATAAGAAAATAACTCAGATGCTGGGCAGTGGTGTTGTACACTTTTAATCCAAGCACTCAGACAGTAGCAGGCAGAACTTTGTGAGTTCAAGGTCCGCATGGTCTACAGCTAGTTCCAGGACGGCCAGGGCTACACAGAGAAACCCAGTCTCAAACCCCCAAAAAAAAAAAAAAAAAAAAAAAATTAAAATAACTCAGTTTCTGCATATGAAAAGAGAAAACACTGACTATATTTCTCTTTATGACATTGCATTTGTAGGCTATTGGAACTCCATTGCTTCCACACCAAAAACAAGCCCTGGCGTGGATGATTTCACGAGAGAACAGCAAAGACCTTCCACCATTCTGGGAACAGCGAAATGACTTATATTATAACACAATAACAAATTTTTCTGAGAAGGAACGACCGGAAAATGTCCGTGGAGGAATTTTAGCTGATGATATGGGTTTGGTAATTTTCATTTTTCTTCATTTAGAAAAATCTTAGTTTGCAATAACAGTTTTGTAAACAGAAATTTTAAAGTTGAAAGATGGGTGCTAGTTTAGGACTAGACTTTGCTTTCAATGTAGATAGAACATTACTTTTTTTTTTAAATAGGGGCTTCTAGGGAACCAGCAGAAGAGTCAAATACAAAGAATAGTTAAAAATGGGTAACAATACATTAATATTAATGAGTATATAAACATATATTTCCAGTTTTCTTTACTTATTGGAATTCAGGGCAACCTGCCTTTCATGGGGTTTTTAAAAAGTAAAGGTCAATGATAGCAAGTTCAGCCCCCACCATTGCAACAAACAGTAGAAAGTAAGGCAAGACTCAGTTAGTTCCCACTAAGGAACCTGCACCTCATTTTGTGCTTTAAGAAAGAAGTCCTTTGGCATTGGCAGTAATTTCAACAAGAGAGAAGCAATAGTCTCACAGCCCTCTTATAGCCTGTTTAGCTATACTGGCCTGTTTGTTTCTTGCTGTGCTTCTGTTGCAGACTGCTTGACCAAGAGAGACATCCTCAGAAACCAGAGAATGAAAATCATCAGGACTATGCTGATGATCCCATAGACCTGGTGGTTATCTGGCTGGAAGGCCTACCACCAACCTAACCTAGGACAAGGTGGCTGCCCCTTCCTACAGGTTCCCTTACTACTGCAATATGGACACTGGCCTCATGTCAGGCTCTCTGTATGACCCCAACTTCAGTGCCACTAGGTCTGCTGAGAAGTTTAGAAACAATAATGCAGGTGCTGAGTTTGACCTGAGTCATGAAAAGTTAGACAGGACACATGAGATGTCAGATGGTAGCACAGGAAACAAGACAGTTGTGGTGACAAGTCAGATTGGAGCCATAACAAGTGTGAGAAATTCAGAATGTGGCAGTAATAAAGTAGACAAAGGGAGTGGGCCAGGGGATGGGATTAGGACCAATAGGCCTGATAAAGTAGACATGGGAAGAGGACAGAAAGCAGTGCCCCGTCTCTCAGAGCAGTCTTTTTACGTGCAGTGCTAGAAAGTGGTAAGCTGAAGACAGTTACTTTTCATGGTTGTGCTCATGCTTAGGATCTCCTGAGACTTCCCAAGTAGCACGGTGAGGCCATGACAGGCAGCGACATCTTCTAGGAGTATCCATCCCCATTCCTAGAGGTTGTATTCCTGTTAACACTAAGGTTCCCTACTCAGAACCAAATTGTAGGACCAAACCTTGACTCCTCAGACCCCGGCATTTTTCTTCCCTTCCTTTCTTCCCTTTCTCCTTCCTGGGGATGAAATGTAGGGCTTCAGCCATATTAGGCATGCATCCTACCTACTGTCCTACACATTTAACTCCTCTTGGTGTTTTTCATAACAGCTTTTCTGTGGGAGGAAAGAAGACAGTGTCTTTTGAAATCATATTCTAGTTCAAATACCGGGTATGCAACATAGTAGATATTTGTGACTTGTTACCATATCCATTCCTGTGGGTTTGGTCATAGAGTTGTCACTTGAGCTCTATAACTTTTATAGTATTAGGCATTAAAGTAGTTTTGAAATATGTAAAAGGAACAATAGACAAAAAACTTATATAAGTAGTGTATTTTAAAGACTTCTAAACAATAGCAGCTTTTATGAGGATGCTGTCACTGTTTAGTTTTGCAAGTTGTTTTGATGCTTAGGTGAAAAAGTGGCAGCTGAACTGTCAAATTGTTACATTATTTGGCATGTTGGGATAGTGTTGACTTTTTTTTCTTTACAGATACTGTAAAGGGAAAAGTATTATTAGTTGCTTTTCTTATTTCTATGATACCACGTAGCACAATTTTTAATTTGTCTTAATAAAAGCCCAGAGGTCAGATATTAGTGGGTGAAAGCAGAAAGATCAGAGAAGCAGAGCTGCCAGCCACTAGAGTTCCTACCTATACAAAATCTTCAGACTGGAAAGGGGCTAGCGCCTGTCTCTGCCTACCTTATATTCATCTCTCTGCCTAACCATATCACTTCCTGTTTCCTCGTTCCTAATCCTGCGATTAAAGGCATGTGCTTCCCAAATACTGGGATCAAAGGCATGAGATCCCAAGTGCTGAGATTAAAGGTGTGTGCTACCACTGCCTGGCCTCTATGGTTAACTAGTGGCTATCTCGGACCTCTGATGTTCAGGCAAGCTTTGTTACAGCAAAAACAAAATATCGCCACAGTATCATATCTCTTTAGATATAGGACATTTTTTTTTGTTTGTTTTATTTTGTTTTGGACTTTCAGTTCTGTGTGATAATAGTCCCATCATTGGGAAGGTACAAGGGCAGGAATTTAAGTGGTGGTCATGTTGTGCCTACAGTCAAAAGGCAGAAATGGAGGTAGATGATCACCATCACCCCACTCTATGGAATAGTGCCATATACAGAGTGTCTCATCCTTCCTCATTTACCTAGTCAAGAAACTTCATTATGGACATTTCCAGAGGTTTGTCTTCCCAGAGACTGTAGTTCCTGTCAAGTTGACAATCAGTATTAATCTCACAAGTATTTTGAAAGCTTTTAAGATAAAAATAATAAAATCCAAGTATTCATTAAAGATACTAACCACTAGGCAATGATACTCAACTTATTTATTATCATTAAAATCTATGAATGTTGTACATTGAATGCTTCACCTGTAATTGATTTTCTGATGGGGCTTGCCCATTGGAAAGTACTAATTGCAGATCTGCGTCATACAGTGGATTTCATTATGCAGTATCGAAAGCTTATATTCCTCAACATTACTACTAATCTTATGAGAAATGTGGTTAACTTCTTGGCAGTTGTTTTAGTCATACGGTCATGTGCAAGTTTTGTAACATTTTACCTTTTGATTGAAAATTGAAATTAAGCCTCGAAAGAAATATTGTAGTTTTCCTTAAAGACAATTCCTTACACCTTACATTGATTACTTTTAAGAAAATTCATCAGAGATACTCAGTCAGTAACAATGACAGTTGCCCATTCTTTCAAGTAAAAATAGTTATGAGTGTATGCAAATAGGCATGTGACAACAATTAATAATAAAAGCAGCCATGAATTTAAAAGAGAAAGGAGGGATTTATGGGGGTGTTTGAAGGGAGATGATATGATTATAGTCTCAAGAGGGGTGGGTAGCGGTGTCTGAGGACTGCTACTGAGATTCTTCTGGCCTCCATCCAGATATAGTCACACATGCACTTACATACACACAAATAATTTTTATCTTACATTTTCCTCAAAGAGTATGAGAGGACCAGATTTTGGGGACCTCTTTAAAATTACTAGTTTTATTTCTATATTACTGTATATCTTACTATTGGAAATAATGAAGGTGATTGTCTTCATATGCATGTTATAATTCCTCATTATCTTACATTAACTGAGGTTTATTGAAAATAGCTGTTAATATTAGTTTCATGATAAAATGATAGTTCAATGTAGAGTGGTAGTCATTCAAATAAAATGGCATTTCTCTGGTGCTTATAGTCAATCATAAATGATAGTTGATCATAAATAACTTGTAATAAGGTATAAGAAAATTTTTCTTAGCTAAATAAATACTTATTTTTCATTAACAGTTATATTGTTTAATAATCATGCATGCTGTGCCTTTGACTGATTTTCGGTATTTTATTATTTTAAAATAGGTTTTGAAATGTTTTCTAGATGAGTTTTAGAATCTGACCATTTGTCTTTTAAAAATATTTTAAAGGGCAAAACTCTTACTGCCATTGCAGTAATTCTTACCAACTTTGCTGATGGCAAGCCTCTTCTCAGTAAAAGAAGCAAGAAGAATCAGCAAAGAAAGGTAAAGTCAGTGTGTTCTGTGAAGGCTGCTTTACTATAGAAATCGCTATCTCACTAAAAGTCGTTGACAGCTAATTAATAATAGCTGATCTTATTCAGATGTGATTAATGGTTTTTTTCACCATTTATGATGGTGCTTATAAAAGCATAAATACCAATTTTCATGGGGGTGCATGTTTTTAATCCCAGTACTTGAGAGGCTGAAGCAGATGGATCTTTGAATTTAAGGTCAATCTGGTCTACAAAGTGAGTTCCAGGCCAGTCAGGATTACATAATAAGACCTTATTTCAAAACAACAATAAAAACAAACAAATTAAAAAACCCAGAAGACACAAATAAATAAATAAAAAGAGTATAAGTACCAGTTTGTCTTACTGCTGTTGCTGTGAAGAGCACCATGTCCAAGGTAGCTTATAAAAAAACAAACAAACAAAAAACAGTTAATTGGGAGGTTGCTTACAGAGTTTTTTCTTTTTTTTTTTTTTTTTGGTTTTTTGAGATAGGGTTTCTCTGTGGCTTTGGAGCCTGTCCTGGAAATAGCTCTTGTAGACTAGGCTGGTCTCAAACTCACAGAGATCCGACTGCCTCTACCTTCCGAGTGCTGGACTAAAGGCGTGCACCACACCACCCAGCTGCTTACAGATTTGAAGAGTTAGTCCATTATCATGGTGGGGAACATTGTTATAGGCAGGCAGGCATGGTAGTAGGGCAGTAGCTAAGAGCTCGTTTATTATTGCTGGCAGATGGGAGGGAGGAATGAAGGGAGGGGAAACAAAAGAGAAATTAGAAATAAACAATTATTCCTGTTTTTATCTGAAAATCATAGAAGCCTGAATTAGGAAACAGCACAAAGATGTTTTTCTATATTTTACTTTTCATGTATACTACTTTTCCTTAGACCTTATTGAATTTTTAAATTTTTAAACGTTTACTGGGACTTATTTACACTGCTAGAATCTCAGATTCATTTATTTTTGCTATAAATACTACTGCTGTATCATACTAGTTTTGGGAATTCCAGAAACTAGTATCTGCCTAATGGTAGATACATTATTTACCAAATAGGGAATCCTGGTTTGAAAATTTAGTGTGGGAGTGTTTTATTCCAGTGTAAATCTTATCTCATGAATTTTTTTTGCAGTAACATTTATAGTTGAGAGGTGTGTGTGTGTGTTCATTTGGAAAGATTAATACCAACTAATTTTTATTTTTTTAGTATAGTGGAAAATTTCATTGCTTTTTTCATATTTTAAGAAATGTCAAAGTGTATAATTAGGAAGCTAACTAGGAAAGATTTTTATTTTTTGCATTTATTGGCTTAAAAAAATTTTGCACAAGATCTTCCCACCGCCCAACCTCATATTCGTTCTCTCAAAACAAAACAAAAACAAAAAAAGGGGTGGGGGGTTGAACCTGGGGGTGGGGCAAGAAAAAAAAAACTAAAAAGAAAAAGCTATCTAAAGAAAACACTGGTAAAAGCACATTAAAAACATGGAGTCCATTTTGTGTTAGCCAGCTGTTTCTGAGCACGGGGCCTGTCCTGCAGTGTGGTTTAGTGTCACCGCATTGGAGAAAAGTGATTTTCTCTTTCTCAACAGATAACAATTGCAAACAGCTTCTTGTGTAGAGTGGGGCTTTGTGCCTATTTCCCCTATCCCCATCCTGGGACTTTGTCTGGTTGAATGTGTGTAGATCTTGTGTGTGTTGTGAGTCTCTGAGTTCCTTATGTACATCAGTTCTGTTGTGTCTGGAAAATGCAGTTTCCTTGGAGTCATCTGACTCTTAAAATTGTTTGGCCTACTTTTCCACATAGACTTGAGCCTTGAGGAGAGAGGTTTGATAAAGACATCTCATTTCCAGCTGAGTCCTTAAAAATATATCACTTTATGTATGTTTCCAAGTCTTATCTGTTTATTACCATCTACTGCAAGATGAAACTTCTCTCTGATGAGAATTGAGCAATGAACTGGTATGTGGGTGTAGCAGTATGTCATTAGGAGTTGTTTTATTGCTGTGTTCATTTAGCAGAATAATAGTAGTAGGTTTTCCCCTAGGAAGTCCCCCAAGACCTATCTATAGTCTCAGGTTTTGGGCTATTTTAGCAATGCCATATATGGGTTCTTTCTCATGGAATGGTCCTTAAATCCAATATTTAAAAAGTGATTGGTTACTCTAATAAACATTTGTAGTATCATTATACTAGTATATCCTTCAAGTGTGTCATTATTGTAGATTGCATGTCTCATAGCTAGATAATAGTGATGATTCCTTTTCTACTCTGCTGGTGTACACATACCTTCTAGATCCAAAAACACTAATCAGGAGAGAAGCTTCTCATGATTTTTATTTTTGAGATACTGGTGAGAAAAATTTAAATCAGTTTGTATATTATTTTTGCTTTTTTATCTCCCTTTTCACCAATTTTAAAATGGTAAGAAATCTATTAGCATTAAAGCAGTCTTTATTATGTAAAGTAAATCAATATAAAACAGATTAATCTTAATATCATTTAAAACTGATACCCCATTGAAGAAAATGCCTTTTTTTACATAGGAATACAAGGATGAGACTGTCAAACTGGGAAGAAGTAATACTAACAAAGAGGCAGATAAACTAAGCACAGGTGAGTTTTAATTGTGAATATGGTCTAACTACTTTATGTTTTTTATACCTAAGAAAATCCTATTTTGGGTTTTGTAATATACAAAAATTTAGGATCTCTTTTCTGAAGAACTTTGTGAGGATTGTTAATCAGAAAAGGTTTTGTCAAAATAGTTGGATATTAGTATACCAGGAAGGGAAAATATTTTTAATTGAGAGAAAAATTTCTTCCAAGAACAATTTAAAGAAAAAATGTTTTGTTTTAGAACTTCATTATATTACAATGCAGTGCACATAGTTACAAAGAAAGCTAGAAAGATAAATTAGAACCAATTCTGAAGTCAAAGAAGGGAAGAGACCTGTGATTTTAGCAGTCATGACCATTATACTTTACTTGCTGAAGCCAGGTTGAAGCAGAACAAAGCTGAAAATATTGTGGATGAGTGTGTGTAGAACTGGGAAGGACTGGGGTAGCAGTAAGGGATAGAAAACACTTGAAGAGAGTAGAATTGAATGTGTGTGTATGTTTTTTTTTTTCTTTTTTATGATAAGATACTTGGTTATAGGGTGAGAATTGTGTAAGCTTATGGGAGAAAATGAGAACTCAAGAGTAATTACATAAGTCAGCACTCTTAAGTTTGAGGGAGTGGAGTACACAAGCAAGTAGGTGGTGGGTGAGAGGTCCGATAATTGGCTTATAATACATAATGCCATCAAATTTTCATTGCAAGTTAATGAAGTTCTCTGGGAAGAAAATGAATTTGAATTTAGGCCAACAATAGTATATTTGCAGAGCCTGGGAGGACTAAACAGTGATAAGGAAGGTTAGTAAGTGACAGGGAATATTTGAAAATACAAATTTATATTAGTATTTTATTAGGATTTACCCTCCTCCTGGGTGTGTGTGAGTTGTTGAGTGTTTTTTATACAGAAGTAAATTCAGCCTCTGGGTTGGTGGGTAACTACTGGAAAAAGACATTTTTATTGGGTCATAAAAAACTGAAGATATATATTTATATATATCCCAGTGGAAAATAGTAGTTTAGGAGAAATGCAGAAAGACTACCTACCAACGGGGCTTGAAAGTAGTGAAGTAAAAGCTCAAGGTTAGTTATGGAAAAACTAAGATTTTCAGAGCGATAGTGCTGTTTTAGGACAATTTGATAATTCTGTGTGTTTCTTTAAAATAGAGCCTTCTAGATGTAGTGAAGAACCTGGCGTTTCAAATACCCAGGAGAATAAGAAGTGTCCTATGTCAGGATTTTCTAGTTTCTGCCCTAAAAGGTAAAGTGTTGGGGTTAAGCTACATGGCATATCTATTTATACTCTTCCTCTGTTTTCTTGTAAGAGAAAGAGATGAGTACTGTGTTTCTAATTGCAGATTGTTAAATCACAATGACAAAAGAAATTATTAATTCTTAAGTCATGTTGCCAGTCTCCTCCTACTTTTTTGTTTTAAAAGTGAAAGTACTGTTAATCTATAAAATAAGTGGTTTATTAATTTTTAATAATCACTACCACTTTCCCCCTAATTTTTGTTGATATAGATTTTCTTGATGAGACATTAAGAGTTTTCATTTGGATTTTGAGGGATGAAATTAATGTGTTCAGAAAGCTTAACATAGCACTCTTTGCTTTATTCAGAAAATTATTTTTGGAGTGTTAACACAGACTAGATTCTAGGGAGAATGTGGATAAAAGATATTCCTGTTTGATCTTACCTTGAATCTGTTAACTTTATAAGCTTTATTTACCCTCTCAACTAGGTATAGGTACCAGACTTTTATATAGTGTGGTCTCCCATCAATGTACATGGATGTGATCTTATGTCTAAAACTCCACTAGCTATTCCTAAGTAGTAATCACAAAATAAGGTCTAGTTGATGATTCTGTCATTAATCCCCTCTTGAACTCAAAATCATTACTTACTAGTTTTCTCCTTATTTAAAAATGTTTTCATTTTGTTATTGATTTGTATAAGTGTTTGCCTGTATGTATGTCTGTGTGCCACTATTGTGTCTGGTGCTCAAGGAAGTCAGAAGGAGGCATCAGATCTCTTGCAGCTGAAGTTACAGATCACTGTGAGCTGCCATGTGGGTGTGGAGTTGAACCTAGGTCTTCTGGAAGATAAGCCAGTGCTCTTAATCCTGCAGTCTAGCCTGGTTTCCTTTTTATTTAAATGCCAAATCTAAAAACTGAACTAGTCATAAGCCTATGTAATATAGCACTGTTATGTAGAATAGATCAGATAAAAGGAAATGGACATATAACAAGGAAAATGTGTTCAAACATCAGCCAGTATGTGTACTATAGCCAATACAGACCAGCTGACTCTTCAGAATAGTAGTATTTTTAGGCCTTTTATTTATAGTCACATTTAGTCAGTTATATTTTTATTACCATTTTCCAAGTGAGGAAACAGACTTAGATACTAGTAGAATGAGAATTTGAATCTTGGTTGTCTAATTCCAAAGTCCATTGTTCTTAAATCCTTACTTCATGAAATTTATACAATAATCAGATTTTCCCTTTTCTTTGATAATAGTTGGTTCCCTCCCCCTTACTCATCTTCAAAGGCTTTATCAAGATTTTCTTTAATTGGTATATATTATATATACTGGTAGGCCTCATAAAGACACGTTTTCAATACAAGGTACTTTGGCCATATTTTCATCCTCTATAACCTGTCCATTTTCCTCTCCTTCCTTCGCCTTTTTTTTACCTCCCTCTAATCTCTTTTCTCCCAGTATCCCTTTTGCTTTGATGTTTTATAAATATGTGTGGAGAATTTTTGAGTATGTATGGCTTTTATGTATCTTTCTTTAATCTAAGATCCACAGAATGAGAGAAAACATTTGCCTGAGTCTGGCTTATTCCATTCATTTTCTTGTAGTGATTCATTTTTCTTTATGGTTAACACCACATTGTGTAGATGTAACATGTCTTTCTTTACTCATTTGGCTATTGATGGGATATCCATGATAGCTTCATTTTTTAGCTACAGTGAATAATGCAACAGTAAGCACTGATGTACTTTATCTCTATAGTGTGTTAACTCACAGTCTTTTGAGTATATATGCAGGGGTGGTTATAACTGGACCATGCAGTAGTTCTATTTTTAGCCTTTTGATGACCCATAATGGCTTCCACAATGGCTACACCAGTTTACATTTGCAGAACAGTACACAGGCTCCCCTCTTCCTTGCCTCCACATCAGCATTTATTTGTTTTGTTTTTTCTTTCTTTTTAAATTTTTTTCTTTATTCTTGGGAATCTCATACATGCACACAGTAAAATATCATCATACATACCCTTTATTTATTCATTGGGGGAATTGATTTTCCTCCTCAATCTGTCTTCTCCCAACTTCATGTCTCTTCCTCCTTATCCACTTCTTCTCTTCCTCCTCTCCCCCTTGCTCCTTCACTTCTTTTTTTTGATGGATCATTAAGTCTAGTTAGTGCTGCCAATAGTTTCATGGGTATCGGACCACCTCCTGGAGGAGGGAAAATGTAACAGTAGCCATACTCTCAAAAAAGAATGGTTCTCTTTCTTCTAGCAACTATCAGCTTCCAGTAGCTGCTCAGGAGCGGGTGGGGCCTGGAGAAAACCTCAACCTGTCCTTATTGTGTGCAGGTAACTACAGTTGCAGTGAGTTCATGAATTTGATAGCTGTGTCATGTTCAGAAGACAGCATTTTATATCATTCCTCTCCATCTACCAGCTCTACATTGTTTTTGCGTCCTCTTCGCCAACATTTCTTGAACCTTATTAGAGAATAGGAAATGACAGAGATGTTCCATTTGGGGCTGAACACTTTTTCATTTTCAGCACTTTGATCAATTGTGAATGTCTGCATTGACTGCAGTCCACTGCAAAAAGCAGGTTTTCTCACTGAGATTAAGAACAGCCCAAGTCTGTAGGCGTAAACAAGTATTAGAGGGTAATTTGACAACATGACCATTGAGCAAAACAGCAATAGCAGGTTCTGCTGCAGGGCCTTTGAGCTTCCCAGCCAGGGGCTTGTTTTTACATTCCCTCTCCAAATCTGTCACTATCCACTACTTCAGCAGAGAAGACTAGGGCCACATGAACTCCTCCCCCATTATGACTGACTGTTGACAGGGCTAATGCAGACCCAGTGAATCTCTACCTATCTCTGAAGCCATTTGTATATGTTCACTATACAGACTATTTGCAGTCACTTGCTGCATGCAGGTGCAGACTGTTTCATGTGATCACTTGTGCGTGTATACAGGTGATTTTCTCTATGTGTTCATATACTTAGGTGTAGGTACAGAATATGTCTGAGCCAACACTTGCATGAATGCAGGTATTTATTCTATCTCTACACTGTTATATGTTTTCTTCTCTGTCTGTTTGGGTGGTGTTTTCTGGTGATAGGAAATCTTTGTGATAATAAGCTTCCTATGTTGGTTGATCTTTGTTTTGTTTGCTTTGCATCCAGAGGTTGTGCTTTGTAGGCATTATAACTATAGAAATGTCAGTCTGTAGACACTAGAAAGGGCTGTCAGCAGGGTTTCCAGTGGCAGGAGCCCTAGTTAACTTTTAAGCTCTTGCTACTACATGTCCTACTTCTGAAGAACTAGTGAGTCTTATTCTAGTCCATGGTGTAGACCCTATTTCTTCTATTTAGGAACACTGTGTGCTCTGGTCAGAACTCTACCCCAATCCGTTAGAAGTGTTTTACCTTCCAGGACTCAGAATAGTCCCCTGACATTTGTCCTGGGCAATGCAGAGAGGAGCTTTGCATCTAGTTCACCAGCCTGTTAACAAAGCATACATAGGTCTTTTAAAATGACTTCTTAACCTCTGCTCCAGCCACAAATGTGAAATATATGCCCACAAATTCCTGTGTGATTGAACTGTACATCTTCTCAGTGATGTGGCTGGTATTAGTGTACTTTCTGTGGCTTAGTCTTTTTGTTTTGTTCTTGGATTTGTACAGATGTTGTACAAATTGGCTGTACAGATGCTGCCCTCCCTCCCTTCTTTTACTGTTCTATAAATAATCTTGTGCTGAGAGTAGGACTGACTGAAACCCTGTTTGTCCTAAGCTGAGGTCTCCATCCTCTCTGGTTGTTCGAAGTCCTCTTTGGGGAATAGAGCATGTTTAGAATCAACTCAGGACATTCCTGTTCTGTTTCTTCAGTATTTCTTTGCTACTGAAGCTAGTGCTTTCCTGTCATCACTCCTCTTACAGGACAGTGGCTCTCACAGTCCCTGCTTGACTTCTTTGTGAATTTAGCAGTCTGTATGTGGTTGTCATCTGCCATCTTCTACATTGCCAATTCTTTTTGGTTCTAATGTTCCATCAGTGTTTTACTTGAACTACTGAACATTGAACTCTACATGATTGACTTTTCAAATGTGATCTTGTTGGTACTAGATTTTACAAGTGCAGCTATATGGTCATAAAAGGAAGAAACTTCTAGCATATTTGACTTTTGCTTGGCAAACAGGAGACTCTTTGAAAAATCTATTAAAAAGCAAATGGGAGTTAAACAATTTCTATGTTACATTTATTAAACATTCCTTTATTATATTTTATTTTGATTCTTTCAATTTCAGAAGAAAAATTGCCGTTCAGTACATTGAAAGCAGTGATTCAGAGGAAATGGAAACTAGTGAACCGCCACAGACAATGAAAGGTAATATGACTCGATTTGACACTCTGTCATGTATTCTAATCTCCTAGTGTGTCCATTTTTATCTTTATTTATTTTTTTTTTATTTCAGGCAAGCTGAAAAATGCACAGTCAGATACTAAAAGTAGAGTAAAAGGTAGGTGTATATTACATCTCAGTTCTTTCATAATCTGCATGTAAAGATTTTTAAAATGAAACAATCATTAATTGACATCTTATTAGCTTGAAAGATTTTTAGCAATAGTATAAAATTTGGCTGCTTTTGAACTTTTCCCTGCATTTGAACTTTTCATGAACTTACCATATGTGCTAAATGAATTAAATGATTCAAATTCAATGAATAATTTCAAGTTAAAAATCTAATGGATAATATTTAAACCAATTTAGACAAAATAGTTTTCTACTACTTATAAAATAAGTTGAATAAAACTTTGTATTTTTACACAAGTGTGCACAAGCACGCGCGCGCGCACACACACACACACACACACACACACACACAGAGGAGATATGAACAGGTTTGGAGTGCCTTCTTGGCAGCATTCACATTATGCACATAAAAAAAAAACATTTTCTTCATTTTGGAAACATGCTTTATTTTCCTATTAATTCAAGTCATATTGTCTTTCTAGTTAGCTGAGAAATTGTATTGCACTTGGAAAAAAGCTTATTACCATTGGTCTGATGTGAAATTTGACAGCTTCATACTGGTGCAGCTTTCTTTTCTGAGTGCTGAGTTCCTTTGCATTTGTCTGTTCCTGCTTTCTCATTTAAGAGAAGTAACAGCTGGGATGTGATAACATCATTTCTCTGAGCTATAGAGATATGCTTAGTGTCAGAAATGGCAATGTTACTTAACAAATACCATTTTTATTTAATAATGTAATCTCCCAAGTTGCAGAATATAGAAAGTGCCTAAGGAGGCAGAGTAAAGACTTTTTATGATTCTGTGATTTTTCTTCTACCAGGATCATCTAAGGTTAAAGAAGATACAGAATTTGCCCGTGCACTTACTTCATCTGCCTCTGCAACAAAGAAGAAAATGTTGAAAAAGGGTCAGTAAGTCTAGTTTTCTACCTTTCCCCCCTTTTTTTTGTTCTAGTCATTTTTGATTGGTTTAAAGCTTAATTTGGATAAATTTAATTAAGAACCTAATTTTTAGTATGATTAGGATTTTGCTTTTCATTTAAGAATATCAGTGATCTTTATTATAATTTTTATTTTCATAGAAAACAACATTGTTTATGAATATGATGGAAAAAGAGTTAAGATTAGATGTCTGAGAGAATTCTGTATACACCACAAGATCTTATTCCATGGCTTATTGAGCAGTCATGAGAGATGCAATGAACAAATAAAAGACTTTAGATGTTAAATGGTAGAAAGGAGATAAACAGTATAAGGACATAAAAGCATCAAAGTAGACTTGAATGTAGTCTGTTTAAAAATGGTATATTTTACCCAGAGAGACAAGGAGGGAGGGCCCAAGGTAGGACAATGGACCTCCTAGGGAGGGGAAGTAGAGGACTGGGAGTGGGTGGGCATGGGGACTCAAGGTATCAGATTGGGGGTGGGGCAGAGGGGGAAGTGCTGAGAAAGATGACTAGAAAGGGGGCTTTATGGAGAGGGCTAGAAGCCTGACATAAGAAAAAACGTGCATGAGTCTACAAGGATGGCCCCAGCTAAGACTTCGGGCAGCAGTGGATGCATAGCCTGAACGGGCCATCCCCTATGATTGGATTGGTTGCCTGAGAGCTTTCATCCAGTGACTGATGGAGGCAGATTCAGAAAGGCATGGCCAAACATTGGGCAGAGTTTGGAAGTCCTGCTGAGGAGAGGAAGGAGGGATTGTAGGGCTATCAGGAAATCAGGGACATCAGAGGAAAACCCACAGAAACAGTGAGCCTGGCTCATGGGAACTCACAGAATCTGAACCAACAACCAAGGAGCCTACATGGAACCAACCTAGGTCCTCTGTATATATGTGACAGTTGTGTGGCTTGGTCTATTTGTGGGACTCCTGGCAGTGGGAGCAGGGCTGTCCCTGGTGCTTTTGGCTAGCTCTTGGGAACCTAGTCTTGATGCTGGATTGTCTTGCCCAGCGTGAATACAGGGGGAGGTGCTTGGTCTTATGGGAGCTTGATATGCCATGTTTTGCTGATGTCCAGAGGAGGCCTGCTCCTTTCTGAGTGAATACAGAGGAAGGGAGGGGTGGACAGGAGGAGTGGGTTGGGGGGTGGGGTGTGCAGAAGAGAAGTGGGGGAAGGGAGTGCAAAGAGGAGGGAGGCTGTGGTCTGGATGTTAAATAAATAAATTAAATTAATACTAGTAAGAAAGGTATATTTTGAACTTGGATGGCTTAGGGGTTAAGACCACATACTACTTTTCCGGGGGCCCAAATTCAGTTCCCAGCACCTATGTTAGGTAGCTAAAAAATTCTTTTAACTCCAGCTCCAAGGGATCCAACTACTGCTGACAACCTCTTCAGGTGTTTGCATGCGCGCGCACACACACACACACACACACACACACACATCATATGTATATATGATTATATTATATAATAACATATAATTAAGCTTAAATCTAAAAATATTTAATTAGAGAGGAGAAAAATCCATCCTGAATATAGGCAGTTGCATTTCATGGGCTGGTCCTGGAAATAATAAGGAGAAAGTGAGTTGAGCATCAACATATACTTTTCTGTATTTCCTGGCTGTAGATGTGGTGTGACCAGCTGCCTCATGCTTTTGCTGCCATGGCTTCCCCTCCGTAGTGGGTAATATATTCTGAATTTGAAGGTCAAAATAAATCTTTTATTTGCTTTTTTGTAAGATATTTTGTCACAACAACTAACAGAAAATTGGCACTGAGGAATAGTGTTATTGGTGTGCTAAGCCTGACTAGTTTGTAAGCATTTAGCACAGGTTTGCAGGATCAATATGAAAGATTTTGGAGCTACAGGTTATAGACACACTTTAGACAAGAGACTAAGGGGCCATTTTGGTGGGAATTTGGAAGATCAGAATTCTGAGAGAAGTGAAGATAGTAGGGACTTGGTTCATCAGGTTTTAAAGGACTCTCTTGGGAACAGGGCTAGTGGCCTTTTGTGTTTTATTCTGGCAAAGAATCTGGCTTCATTCTGTTTATGTCTTAACCATTTGAGTGGGGTTGAATTAAGAAGTGTTGATTGGCTGATTATTTGGCACAGGAATTTCAAGACAGGATAGCGTTAGGCTGTATTATGGTTACTACTCACTGTTCTTACTTAGGTTGACAGAAAACTACAAATGGGGCAGAAAGGTAAGACAAATGTGCAGCTTAGCAAGGAAGGAGTGAGAATTTATAGTTGAGGATAGGGGCATTAGTATGATGTCTTACTCTTTTGTACTTTTTGTACTTTTTGAGGGGCCCAGCTCCCAGATAAATTACACACGGAGGGTTATTCTTAGTTATGAATGTCTGGCCTTAGCTTGGTTTGTTTCTTGGTGGCTTTTCTTAAATTATTCCAACTACCTTTTGCCTCTGGACTTTTATCTTTCTTACTTCTGTGTATCTTACTTTCCTTCATACTCCATGTCTGGCTAGGTGGCTGTCCCCTGACGTCCTCCTCTCCTTATTCTCTCATTCTTCCTCCTGTTCCTCCGTTCTCCTATTTGTACTCTCTTCCTGCCAGCCCCACCTGTCCTTGCTTCTGCCTTGCTATTGGCTATTCAGCTCCTTATTAGGACCATCAGGTGTTTTAGACAGGCAAAGAATCACAGCTTCACATAGTTAAACAAATGCATCATAAACAAAAGTAACACACCTTAAAATAATATTCCACAGCAGGGCGATATGGTGAGAGTGACTATAATTGTTACAGAGATTAACAACATTAAAGAACCTTATAGCTGCACTGGGATAGGTAAAGTACACAGAGGGCAAGACCTTACTCATTGAAGGCTCCAGTTTGTAACAGGGAAGATGAATTTAAAAGGTGAGAACCAAGACACAGGATGCCAATGAAGGTGTTCTGTGCTCCACAGTTGCCACCCAGAGTAGTTTTCTCTCAGAGTCAGCCTTAAAGGTTCGTAGAAGTGGTTGTATCTTTGGTCCAAGGGACCAGCTACGTTTTGAGCCGATTACAGAACTTGAAAGTGTTTTCCATAGGGTACAGATTTTGTAGGCATGCAAGATGTATAATGCAAGGCTCATGGAGGCTTAGGTCAAAGTTTCAAAAAACTGCTGAGGCAGGAAAGTGTGTGGCAGGACCCTGCCAAGAGGTGTGGGAGCCTATTGCACAGACTGTGAATGTATGGTCTTAGGTAGGGTGGGAGCTCCAAGATGTTATAGATGCTACTACCTTAGGATGTTGGTGAGGAAGGCTGTATGGGGTTCACAGTTAAGAAATTATCCTAAAATGGTCTGGAGAGATGGCTCAGAGGTTAAGAGCACCGACTGCTCTTCCAGAGGACCTGAGTTCAATTCCCAGCAACTACATGGTGGCTCACAACCATCTGTTATGAGATCTGGTGCCCTCTTCTGGTGTGCAGATATACATGGAAGCAGAATGTTGTATACATAATAGATAAATAAAACCTTTAAAAAAAAAAAAGAAGAAATTATCCTAAGTTTCAGAAGGACCTTTGAACTATTGAAGTTGGGCCTATTCAAAAATTCTGTGAGGAATTTTAGAAATGAGCTAAATACATTTTTCATTTTAAGATGAACATGAAAGTTCAGGGGCCAGAGTGGAATGTTACTACTTAAAGTGACGTGCTTGTGTGTTAAGTTGACAAGAGATGGAATTGTGATAATTAATCTTTGTTTGATTGGGGTTATAATCACCATAAAAATACCCCTGGTTGTCCTATGAGGGTGTTTCTGGGAAAATTTAACTAAAGAGAGAGGCTTCTTTGAGTGTCCAGTTACAGTCCTCTGATTCTTCTTGATAAATAATCACTATTTAATTTTTGGTTTTAGGGAGTGAGAGAGACTGGAAACAGCCCATTTATTTTATTTTTATGTTTTATTGTGACAGGGCTTTTCTGTGTAGCCTTGGGTGTCCTGGAAATCCCTCTGTAGACCAGGCTGGCCTCAAATTCACAGAGTTCCACCTGCCTTTGCCTCCCTAGTGCTGGGATTAAAGGTGTGTACCACTGCTTCTCAGCCCCCATTTCCTGGCTTTTAATTCTTGTTAATTTTTATCTTCATAGATGATGATTGTTGGACCATATTGAGATGTATCTCAGTATTTAAAAAAGCAGATAAAGTCTATCAGCACATTGTTCTTTTAGGGGCATCTGTGATGGAGGTCTCAAAGAAATGTGACACTGGAGAGAGGACAAGAACAACACTGATCATCTGTCCACTCTCTGTGCTGAGCAATTGGATTGTAAGTCTAAAGCCTTTCTGCTTAAAATGGGGTATCACATCTGTCTATAAGAAAGTATTGTTAGAAATATGTGACCTTCATTTTATCTGTTAAGTGAATTACATTTGCTGAGCTGAAGTACTTTTTCTGTGAAGGCTTATATGATTAACGTCCTGATTTCGAATGATGCTTTGATATTTTCTTTTGCCCCCACCATGTTTGTCCCTCTGAGAACATTATAACATTACATGTGCTCCTGTCTGCTTGGTTTGTCCATAATTTCTTTCATAGATTTTTCTCACTTAATCCTCACTATTTTCAGTTTCCAGGTGACCAAATTGAGAGGTTATGTAACTTGACTAAGGCCATCCAGTCAAGTGCACCAGAGAGCTCATATGTGGTCATCAATATTTGACCCCAAAGTCTCTTGACAAGACTACTAGTCAGAAAAGCAGGCTCCCCCCTGCAGATTGTTTTTCTTTTTTAAGAACATTTCATTGGAATGGGATCTGTATATGTTATTTGTAAGCAGCAGCCTGCTTTTATGTCCTTGCTAATTTGAACCTCAAGTTTTCTTTTATAAGATTTTATTTTGGAAGTATTTGAACATAAATACCACTGGATATGAGCATTCTTGCTTTCTTCCATGGTATCTGTCTCCACCTTGTTTGTCCTATATCAGGAAGAGGAAATCCTGCTCTTCATAAAACTATTGTTTTGTTTTATTCCATTTTCCCCATTTCACTTTTCTGTCCCCACCCCCATTTCTTGGTTATTCAGTCTATTCCACTGGGGGTTTCATGAAAAATATTCAGGTCTTCATTTTAAATAGTTCCTTTTGATTATGTCTCACCTTGAAATTATTGCTCTTCTGTGTCCCTTCCCTTTTAGAGTTCTTGGAGTTTAATGTCTGCTTTATGCTCCTACTCACTGCATTGACTTCTGCTTCTAGCTGTCAGAATTGCACTGGGAGATCCTGAGTGACTCATCATACCCACATTATAGTCCTCTTTTCTTCTTGACTGTTTCTTAGGCATTGACTTAATGCATTTCTTCTTCACATTATATTGTTTTCTCCTCACAACTTGATATCTTTTTGTTTGGGTTTATTTATTTAAAATAAATTATTCCTTCTCTTGACTCATTATCGTGCTTCCCTTTTGAGGCTTATGGATTGTGATGCTTTTCCCTCTCTATTATTATTGCAGTAAAACTATGGTCTTTTCTTTAAATGTGTAGTTTGCCTTGGCAAGGGCTATAAGTGCATGCTTGAATGATAGGTTCAAGGTGAAACTTAGAAATACTGACAGAGAGACATAAGTAATATAAGTGTAAGTTTCTAAAGGCTTGCTATTTACAGATGTATTTTTAAAATGGTTAATCAAGGGGCATAGATCTATGGAAGACTGCCCAGCATGACCTGCACCACATAAGAAAATGAGATAAAAATAGATGGCTAGATAAATATAAAATAGATAATTGTATTTATATTTAAAAACCTTACATTTAAGTAATATAAACTTAGAAAGGACACCTCAGAAAATAAAACTATGCAAAAATTTAAAGAAATAATGGACATTTAAACATATAGAGCAGTAGTTCTCAACCTTCCTAATGCTGTGACCCTTAAATATATTTCCTCATGTTGTGGTGACTTCAATCATAAAATTATTTTTGTTGCTACTTCATAACTGTGATTTTGCTATTGTTATGAATTGTAATGTAAATATTTGTGCTTTCAAATGGTCTTAAGTGACCCCTGTGAAAGGGTCATTCAATCCCCAAAGAAGTCCTGACCCCACAGGTTGAGAACTTAGGATTTAGAGGCACATAGTAAACAGTATTTCATTCTTCCAATAATATACTCTGATTATACTATTCCAAGTTAATCACCTAAAATTCCCTGCAATAGATTGGAACCTATTTCCCCTCTTTTTTGTTTTAAAAGATTTATATTTTTATTTAATGTGTGTTCATGTACTCGAAGGTGCCCATGGAGGCCATAAGAAGGCATTCAATTCTCTGGAACTAGAGTTACAGATTGGTGGGAACTTTTGTGTGGGTGCTAGGAACCAAACACAGGTCCCCTGAAAGACCAACAGGTTACTCTTAACTGCTGAGACATCTCTCCAGCCCCCTTTTTCTGTTTGTAAATAAGGAAAATAATGACATTAAAGGAGTAAGATCTTAAATACCATTTCCAGAAACACCATAAATTCATTTTAGATATTTATTAAGACAGATTGTTTAACTGTGCTCCAAATCACCCATTTCATCCTGTTGATAAGCTACATGACACACAGAGTATCTAGAGACATAGGCCCTATTGTTTCCTCTCCAGAAGTATTGATTTTCTTTCTAGAATGAAGTTTTATTCTTCCATAAGTACATAGTATTCCATGTCATTGCCACTCATTTGATTTAGAATTTTTAATTAAATTCCTCCTCATACTGAATTTCTTCTTTACCAGATTGCCTGAGGAAACAAAATTCTTTGTGTTTTTATCTTTATTTCAGATGCCCCCTAACTTTGCATGTTTTGGCTTTTCTATTTTGTGTGTCTTTCTTCAGCCAACTGTATCAGTTTTATTCTCATTTGTTATGGAAACTCCCTTTGGGGAAACCTTTGACCTCATTGTTATATGTTCAAGAGTTACAGCTTTTTTCCCTCACTCTGGAAAACATTTTGCTTTTTTTTTTTTTTTATGTCATCTGGAACTATTCTGTATGGAAAGGTTTGTGAGTTGCAGATGAGCCCTTTATCTTATTCCCTTCTTGAATTATATTCTTTGTCTTCTGGGTCTTATCCTCTTTGTTCCTGTGACTTTTCTGACCACTGTTGCTTTGCTTTGCTTCTGGTTCATATACAGTTACTCTTGGTAGCTTGAGAGTTTTGAGGCCAAGCAGGGTTATATAGTGATCTTAAAAAGAAAAAAAAATTATAAAAAATTTGAGATCCTCATTTACTTAGCAAGACCCAAGAATTAGCAGAGTGCAGCCATCTTTGGTTTACTCTTTGCTTCGCTGGAATACTCTAACCTTATCTCAGCTATGTCATTCCTCCAAAAACAGCATAGTATGGTTCTTTATTATTGGCAGCCTGGATCTTTGACTGCTTTGTTTTCTCATTGTACATGTTCTCCTTAAAATGTAGATTTTTTAAGACTTATTCCTAGGTGTATGTTTTATCTATTTGTAACTTTAAAATGCATATGTGTACTTCTTACACCTACAGGCGAATGTTTATCGACTGTGTTGTACTCTAGGTAGTCCATAGTAGTGGTTCTCAACCTGTGGATTGATAGACAAACCTCTGTCTCCAAAAATATTTATGTTACGACTCATAATAGTGGCAAAATTAGTTATGAAGTAGCAACAAAAATAATTTTATAATTGGGGGTCATCACAACACGAGGAACCCTATTAAAGAGCTGCAGCATTAGGAAGGTTGAGAACCACTGGTCTGTAGTGACCAAAAATCACAAGTATTTTCTTTCTCACTTCTTTCTTCCTCTTTGGGCAAGTTTTTCCATACCTTTATCACTCACTTCTCCTAGGCAGTCATCTGAAGTTTACGGACATCACTACCTACTCTCTTTTCCTCATGTTCCATACTTGAGTCTCAAGGCCCAAGCTGCCTTCTTTTTTTATTATTATTATTATCATATATTAATTCCATTTAATGAGTTTCATTATGACATTTTTATAATGCATGTAATATATTTTGATCAAATTCACCCAATTAGCCTTTCTTGTCTCTTCCAAGCTGCCTTCTTATTAACATCTTTTTCTCATTCTTGTCCTTTCCATTCTGTTCCAGCTTCTCCTATTCTGGTCCTAGAGTTTCAGTTCTTACCCCCTCCCTCCCTCCCTCCCTCCCTCCCTTCCATCTCTTATCTTGCTCAAAATCATATAAACCTGTTGTTTACAAAGTAATTTGGTAGACTTTTTTATTTAAAATGGAAGACATACTAGATATACCTTTAATCCCAGTGTTTGAGAAGCAGAGTCAAGAAGAGGACTACATAGTAATAAAGTAGCTACCTATAAATGAAATGGCTGCTCATTGGTAGGACAGGCAAAATTTATATGTTTTACATGTTTGTCAGTTTCACTATTTGATACAATATACTGATTAGTATAGTTATCATACTTTAGTTTTAGGTTGTAGGAAAACTGATTTATGACATCCCTACTGGCATAGCTCTTTGATATGCATGCTAAACTTGATACTCACCTGTTTCTTATTAAATATTTGTAATTTTCTTTTAGGACCAATTTGGACAACATATAAAACCAGAAGTGCACTTGAATTTTTATGTTTATTATGGTCCTGATCGTATTAGAGATCCAGCCTTGCTTTCAAAACAGGATATTGTTTTGACAACTTATAATATTTTAACTCATGATTATGGAGTAAGTATGCAAATACCTAAAGCCTTTAAAGATATTTATTATGTTTTAAAATTTTTGTGTGTGTCTGTCTGATAGTGCTGGTGACTTTGGAGGCCCCTGTAGCTATAATTACCTGACATAGGTTCTGGGAACAGAATTGGAGTCCTCTTCAAGAGCAGCCAATACTCCTAACTACTAAACCATTGCTCTAGTCCTACCTAGAAATTTTTTAAAGGTTGAATTTAATTACTCTCCTTCATGTTTCTAAATTACTCTAAAGTTGATAGTATATGCTCTTCCCTTTCTCTGTCTTAAAGTGCTTAAATGTCTGTGAGATAATGTGGTGCAAAGAAGGGTTTTATACAATCTTGAGATACTAATTTGGAAATGTTTGCCATTTAGAACATTTTAGGTTAAAACTTTAAATTTGGATTATATCTAGTGTTTATTACAATTTACATACAAATTTCTTTTTGATGTTATAAAAATTGTTTTTTGCTTTTTTAATGATTAGTGTTACCATTTGAAAATAAACTTTTTGTTTATAGTACTCATTAATTAGGTTCTCAACTCTTTTCATGAGCCCCTTATTTTCTTTAATAATTTAGTTATTTTGGAAATACTATTGAGTGTTCTAGAAAGAACATTACTGTTTGTATAAAAGAAAGCAAGGTTGTTACATTGAAAAATGACTCACAGAGGATGGCTTTTCTGTCACTGTTTCAATCTGGTGCAAAATGGTTCAGTGTATTATATATGACTCAGTAGACTTCTTAGCTTGGAGTAGGAGCTAGCTGCTTCTTAGTGGTACTTTGAATAACATATTTAGTATCTTATATTTTGGTTCCTTAGCTGTAAAGTAGAGGTAATATTCTAGGCTTGTGTGTATTCACTAATTGTCTTTGGTGTACTTCACAGTACCAGGTACCTAATAAGAGTTGGTAGGAGAGATCAGAAGTACGATTGTTTAACAAACATTTAAGTACTGTTACTTAGTGGGCTTCTTGAATTAATATGAAACCTCTATTTCAGACTAAAGATGATAGTCCATTACATAGCATAAAATGGCTAAGAGTGATCCTGGATGAAGGACATGCCATACGAAATCCAAATGCTCAGCAGACAAAAGCTGTACTTGACTTAGAGGCAGAAAGAAGATGGGTATTGACAGGTAATTATAACATTCACTTTTTTTAGTTTTAAGTTTTGTGTGTCTATGCATTCACATGTATATGGGCATATATATGTGTGCAGGTGCACATCCAAATGTGTGTACATTTCTGTGGAAGCTTGATGTCAGTATTGGGCAGCTTCTTGGATCATTCTTCACCTATTCATTGAGGCATGGTCTCTTAGTTGAACCCAGAGTGCTAGCTATCCAACTAGCTTTGGGAATCCTATCTTCATTCCAAGTACTGGTATTACAGGCAGGCTGCTATACACACCCAGAATTTAATTGATTTCTGTGGATTCAACTCTAGTCCCATCATAGTCGTGTGGCAAGCACTTTATCTGCTGAGCTATCTTGAAGCCCTCATTTTTTTTATTAGTTTTTTTGAATTGATGCCTAAATATTACTCATATTCATGGACCTTAATGTGGTATAAGAGCTCATTGTAGTAGCATATTCAAATTAGGGTAATTACATCTGTTTCCTCATTTATTTTTATAGTAAAAGCATTGAAAATAATTTCTTCTACATTTTGGAATATGTATGAGGGCATTATTTGTTTTTTCCATCATTATCCTACAACTGTGCAGTGTAACAGCAGAACTTATTTTCCTGCCATGTTGTACCTTAATAACCATTGAGCAGTCTTTCCCCTCTATTATTCTTCTCAATCTCTGGTAACCACTATTTTCTTTTGTTCTCTAAGAGATCAGTTTCAGATTTTTTTTTAAATTACATACGAGAGAGAGAGAGAGAGAGAGAGAGCGAGAGTGTGTGTGTGTGTGTGTGTGTGTGTGTGTGTGTAGTTTAGAGGACATGTAGATTGTATGACAACCTTGGTTGCTAGTCTTCCTTCATCTTTCTCTCTGCTTGAGATAGGGTCTACTGCATATGCCAGGTTCGCTGGTCTGTAAGCTTCCAATTCTGTTTCTGCCTCTCACCTTGTACTGTCCCTGAGATTACAGATCCATGCTACTTTGTCAGCCTTGATATGGTTTCTGAGCATTAGAATGAATTAAAATTCAAAGTTTCTGGATACAAAAATCAACATCCAAAGTTCACTACCATTTTTATATACTAATGATGACCATAGTTTTACAAAATAGAGCTACTCGAGATTATTTGCTGCTGCTCAAGCATAATCTTAGTTGTCAACAATTTCCTGATATGTGTTGCTTCAATGTGTCAGATTTTCCTTATATTATTGATGGTGAAATTAAGGATTTACATAAAGAGACAGACAAAAATCTATCATGGCCTTTGATTCATTCATAAGATGACTTTCCCATTTTCTTGGTCCTCTGTTAGCTATTATAATTCTCCTGTGATTGCATAGCCATAGAGGCAATGCATTCAATCATGGCTTCAGTTATGACCACTATTTTTTTCTTTAAAAACTTAGAAATGAGGAGATGCAGGGGACATGAGTGCTCAAAGATAAGCATTGGAGAAACTTGGACTGTTAAGCAGCAGGGTTGTCTCCTCAGTGGAGGAAATGAATACCTGTTTTCCATCCAGAAGGTTGGGAGTGGATGCTGTTAATAACCTGGTAACCCCTGCTGTCTGTAGAGGGAGAGCTCACCCAAATCCCCAGAATGTTTATCCCAGACTCTCCCTCCCTAGACCTTTATCTTTGTTTCTCAGTCAATAAGAACCATCCTTAGGAGAAATGTCACATGTGGCTTATAGCCTGCTGACCTCCATCTCTGTCAGAGACCACACCAGATTCTAGGCCCTTAAAGTTATAGAACCCATATTATGGTGACATGTACTTTGCAAATAAATTTCAATGTAGTCATGCTTTAAGCTGCATTGTTGGGACTTTTTAGAAAAACAGAAACATTTTTCTAAAATTATACTGTATTAAATTTGTCTAAAATAAACCCATCAGTGTCAACTCTAGAAGTTTTATTCTTACCTCACCCTGGTTGTTTTTCTGCTGGCTGTGGTGCTTGTAGGGACCCCCACACACCAATAGCAAATTATCTGAAAAGGAAATCAAGACTAAGGAGATGGCTCAGTGGTCAAACATTTGCCACGTTAAGTGTATGAGGACCTGAGTCAGTGTGTGCCTAGGACGGTGTCCAGTTCAAGAGTTGAAACAATTTCAACTCTTGTTTGTCTCACTGGACCTGGTGAATATCTTAGCTAAAGAGCTATAACTCAGTGGTAGAGTTCTTGTCTATCCTGTGTGATCCCTAGCACCACAAAATCTATTTAATTTTGAAGAGTTATAATGGTTTCCCTTTTTTTTTTTTTGTTTGGTTTGGTTTTGGTTATTTGTTTGTTTGTTTGTTTTTAGGTACTCCTATCCAGAATTCTTTAAAGGACTTGTGGTCTCTTCTGTCCTTTTTAAAACTTAAACCATTTATTGATAGAGAATGGTGGCATAGAACAATACAGCGTCCTGTTACAATGGGAGAAGAGGGAGGACTTAGGTAAGTTTATGACAGCTATATATTAGCAACAGTTATGCAGCCAGTTGCCACTTCCATTACCATTTTCACTTAGCTTCTAACTTTAGTCTCCAAAGCACATGAATGTCAGTGTCACTGACTCTTAAAACCTAGTGACTTGGTCTGGGGATACAAGATTGCTTTTGTGCACTTTTTCCCTACTAGCAAAACTGAAAGGAAAAGCAGAGCTTTATGGTCATTGTGTGTGGCTGTCACCCCAAAGCCAACACAAAGAGGTTCAACAATGATAGGAAAAGCTATATCCTTTGATGATTCACTATGCATTATATTTTGATAACTTACAATACTTTTATAGAGGCATTTGGTGATCTATAGTGATCTCAAATGAACATTTCATATGGTTGATTTGGAACCACTGATGGGTATTTTGTCACATACTTGGCTGCTGTGGTTCTAGAAAAGTGTGTGTCTAAATAGGATTTGCTACTTAATGGTGGGTCATAGAATCATTATAAAGATGCAGTCAGCATGGAAAAAGAAACAGAGATGTAATAGAGAATATGAAAAATACCAGAGTACATTCTCCAAGTGAAGATGTATGATGTATATGTATCGAATATTTATTTCTGTTATGGATATAGTCAAATGTGTTTCTGACTGAGTTAAAGTGAAAATGATTCAAATTTTAAACCATTATCTTAACTGTCAAAACTGGCCACTATTTATGCTCTATGTAATCTAAGTTAAAAATTGTGTATTTTACTATTATGGGAAAAATTCTAACTGATCAGCCTCATTTTTAAAATTTTGACTCTGAGGGAAAAATGGCAAGATTACAGAGCCTAGTAAGGCATTTTTCCCTCCTCTGAGTATGCATGTTTTTATTTTTCAGTTATTTATTAACTTACAAAAAGTTCATTTGATTTTCATTTTATACCTATAGTTTTTATATTACATTGGATGAGATTTTTTAACTCATGATAAGAGGATTACTTTAGAGTACCGAAGATAGGATCTCACTCCTATCTGCTCTCTATTTGATACAGTACCTTAAATTTAATAATAGCTGCTTAGTAAGAATGCAAATATTGTGTATTGAGTGGTATAATTGATAAGAAGGTAGTTGAGGAATTAAAGTGCCAATGATGACAACAAAACCAGAAAGGCTTTGTAGAAGTAATTATTAGTATTGTGTTGAAGCACAATTTCATTACTCTTTTTGTAATAATTTTTTATTTGTAGGATATTTTTGCGACTTTAAAAGCCTAAATAAAGGATTTTTAAAAACATTTAATTTATTAAAATTATAAACCAATAAATTCTTGGTTTTGTTTCTTTTTGTTCAGTTTATTTACAAATAGTTATATAATTACTTTTTTTTTTTAACTTTGACTAGGCGTTTACAGTCCTTAATTAAAAATATCACACTTCGAAGAACAAAGACAAGCAAAATTAAAGGGAAACCTGTTTTGGAGTTACCAGAAAGGAAAGTATTTATTCAGCACATTACACTTTCAGAAGAAGAGAGAAAGATTTATCAGTCTGTTAAAAATGAAGGCAAAGCTACCATTGGAAGGTACGGAAACAGAATGCCATGTTAAGGTTTTTTCCTGCTTTCTTAGCTTCTTACTAGCTGAATTACAATTTTTAGATATTTTAGCTATAAAAATCTAAAATATATTGAAAACTATTTTTTTCCCTGTGGCTTATACTTTAAATTTTTTCTTTTTCAAAATTAGTTGAATGAAACAAAAGTATAATCCATCAGGTAAGTAATTTCTTGGGCCTGCAAAAAGTTAAAGCTTATTTACTATATTGATTTCTGTCAGTACTCGGACGAACTTGCTTACTTCCTTTTCTAAGTGTCATGGGAGTAGACACACACAGGGCAGAGGGATGCTTCCAACTTGGTTTTATGCTTATTTTCTGCTTGACAGACACCCAACCCCCCCCCCAACACACACACACACACACACACACACACACGAGAAGAAATTTCACTTAGCACTACTGAGATTTGGAACTTGGAAATCTCCTCTTTTGTTCTTTCTTTATCTCTCTAATTAAATCTGCTTTGTGCCTACCTCATTAAAGTTTTTCTCTTCTGAAGAGTCCCCAGTTTACAGTCCTCTTTTGTCTTTGTCTCATTCTGATCCCTGTGGGCAGATAATGTTTTTCTTGAACTGGAATTATTCACCTTCTGACTCCTAATTCTTTTTAATTGTCATCATTTCCTATTCTTAGATTTCTACATCTTCTTGTAAGACATGCTAATGTACCGATGTTTGTAATACTATACAGATTACCATCCTACTCCAAGAAAAACTTAACTTTTTACAAGATGGTTGCAAATTCAAATGGCTTGGCTCAATTCTTAACCATCTTAGTCTGTAGAGACCCTTGCCTCACAGTGCACTGATTATATTCTTCAGTGTCTTCTCAAGTATTTGGGCATAACATTAAGAAATTAATACTGAAAATTGGTGCCTAGAAGTCAGATTGTTGCTTTGATAAACATGACCAAGTGGTTTCTAAGCCTTTGGAGTTTGTGAGAAGAATGTAAAAGAGTTTGAAATTTGGGGCTAGAAAAGCTAGAATGTTCTAAGCAGAATGTAATGAGCAAGCTGTTCTGGTAGGAATTTGAACAAGCAGAATGCTGAGAGAAATGTGGATTGTGGAAGATAAATTCATGAAATTTCATAGGGGAACAAGCAGTGTGTGTGTGTGTGTGTGTGTGTGTGTGTGTGTGTATGTGTGTGTGGATTTTTTTCTGTTCCAACAGTAAAATCTAGTAACAAAATTAAAGGAAAGGTGGTTTACTGTGGCTCACAGTTCGAGGTTATTGTCTTCTACTTCAGGGAAAGTCATAGTGGCATCAGCTCTGGCCAACTTGTTTCACTGAGTCTGCAGCTAGGAAGCAGAGTAACAAATGTTTGCACTCTGTTTTCTTTCTTATTAATACAGTTCAGGATCCCAGCCTAGGGAATGGTGTGTACCCACGTGGAGCTTATGTTCCACACACTTAGCCTAAACAATATAACCTCCCAGACCTGACCCTAAGTGACTCTAGATTTTATCAAGTTGACAGTTGAGCTTTACTATCATACTGAGCTAATGGCTATTTGTCTTATATTCTGGCAAAGAATCTAGCAACATTTTCCCCATATCCCGAGAAGATAAAAGTATTAAAAGGTAATGGATGAATTTGTTTGGCTGAGGAAATTTCTGGGTAGAATAGTTCACTGCTGTTATCCAGGTCTGCAACAAATAGACAGAAAGACATTTAGAATTGTGTAGTTTGATGAAATAAAGAGCACTAAGCAGTTTTAAAGTTTTAAGCAAGGCATATGCTGAGTAAAGCATGCACAATTGGGTTTTCTGTGCCCCATAATAGGTGTCTCCACTGACACAGCAAGCTACATCCAGCCAAATTGAAAAAGTAAAAGAACAGGTTTATTTTGAGCAAAACTGCTCCCTGTAGTGAGTCCTCCAGACCCCAAAGATCAAGGTGGGAGAAGGGACAGGAGAAAATCTCATGCCCAAACTAAAGCAGGGCACTTATGTACCCTATAGGTGAGCAGTGATGACATGTCAGCCACAAGCTGGGCTTGTGCCCAGTTATAACACTTTGGATAGGGACTTGGGCCACTGGCTACTTAAAGGAAGGAGTCACTGCAGCTGCCAAGAATGTAGAACTGGGCTTTTAGATGGTTTTTCTTTGTTGGAGATTCTCTGAGAAGGCAGGGTTTGGAGAGAGAGAGGAATGGGGCTTTCACAGGATCAAGCTGGCAGTTCCATTTGAACAGTAGCACCATTTAAATCTTTGGATTCTATGTAAGTACCCACCAATACCCACCCACACCTTTAAAAAAGAAAATGTACTTTTTTCTTCTATTTTTAAAATTTTTCTGTGTATTTTAAATATCTTTCATCTGCTTTTTACGAATATTGCTTTATTTATAACCTTTATAACTAATTTGTGTTTTCTCAGTCCTATTTCCTTTCCTATGGTTTTGTCAGTGGTTTTAGTCCCCATAGTCTCAAAGGGAATGGAACTGTTAGGAGGTGTGGCCTTGTTGGAGGAAGTATGTCACTGTAGAGGTGGGTATTGAGGACTCAGATGCTCAAGCCAGGCCCAGTGTGGCACTCTCTTCCTGCTTTCTGCTAATCTAGATGTAGAACTCTGAGCTACCTCTCCAGTGCCAGGTCTGCCTGTACATCACCATGCTCACTGCCATGATGACAATGGACTAGACCTCTGAACTGTAAGCCAACCCTAATTAAATATTTTCCTTTATAAAAGTTGCTGTGGTCATGGTGTGTCTTCACAGCAATAGAAACCCTAATAAGACATAGTATGACTCTTCCTTTCTCTGGTGGCTTCCTTTTCCTTGTTATTCTCAGGTTTGTATTGGATATCTTGTGTTGACATGATGCATCTTGTAAACTCTTTGTCTTTGCCATGAACTCTCATTGTTTGGTGGGAGTTGTATTGAGTGACATGAAATCATGGTGCTGCTCACAGTCCTAATTATTTTTCTGTGGTAACATTCCCTGGTGAGTTTTCTTTCACTGCCTTCTTTGCTCTATGCTGGTTATTTAATATTTGACTATTTTGAGTTCTTTCTGGACTAGCTGTTTGTCCAGATTCCTATAAGGGTCCTAGCTATGTCCCAGGCCATGAAGAAATACCCACTTTTTCGTATTCATGGAAGTGACATGTGAATTCTTGTAAGTTTTATTGACGTTTATACACCAGAGATCAGAAGCATTATAATTGCTTATAAAATTGAGTATTGTGCCACAGCCTCCCCACTCAGCACTCGAGTATGTGTATGTATGTGTGTAAATTGGACTAGACAATTCAGGTCACCATGCATATACCCTATTTCTGTTGTCACATGAGAGACACTAATTTTCCTCTCATTGTATATGTACCTCTTATTTTGAAGAACCAGCTGAGGAATGTAGTCAGTGTTTATTGGCATTTTCCTAGCTGACTTTTTTGCTTGGTTTTATGAAAGATGGGGTGGCTTTTCTTTTTATTTTTGTTTGGCGATGTTGATAATCTTTGACATTTTATCTCTAGGTATTTTACTGAAGGGACTGTCCTTGCACACTATGCAGATGTCTTGGGTCTTCTGCTAAGATTGCGGCAGATTTGTTGTCATACTCATCTTCTTACAAATGGAATGTCTTCGAGTGGTCCCTCTGGTAAGGATATGTGATTGGTTCATATATCATCCAAAAGGACAGATTCTCATGACTTGAATTTGGCCTGTTACATTGCTATGACTTGCTTTCATTAAGATTTTACAAATTACATCTTTGTGTTTGTGTGACTATGCATGGGGGCATGTGTGGAGGTCAGAAGACAACTTGCAAGAGTCAGTTCTTTCTATACCATGTGGGTCCTGGGATTGAATTCATGTTGTCTTTGGTGTCATGTGTCTTTACCTGCTGAGCCATCTTTCTGACTCCAATAATCTTTTGTGAATGAAAAGTAAGTCTGATGTCTTTGCAGGATTTCCAGAAGAACATTCAAACTGGTTCTTTCTCATATGCTGCTAATTTAGAAGATACTATTTTATGCTTGTGTGATGTGTATTAAATGAAATGGCATCTTCTTATAATTCTAAATTTATGAACATGTGCTTTGTAAATGCCATAATAAAGATGAAAGACAATTAAGCAAAGTTCCTTATATAAGATAATCTATTCTAGTTACATTACAAATTTTGCTTTATAATTAATTTTGAGCCTCTTTTTTTTTCCAGGAAATGATACACCTGAAGAACTAAGGAAGATGTTAATAAAGAAGATGAAGTTAATTTTGAGCTCTGGTTCAGATGAAGAATGTGCAATTTGCCTGGATTCATTAACAGTTCCTGTGATAACACATTGTGCACATGTGTTTTGTAAACCTTGTATCTGCCAGGTCATTCAGAGTGAACAGGTTAGTTTGTTGTCAATTATGGAGTCAGTGTTTGATGGAGTGATACAACTTGCTTTGGTGTAATAAAAACCCAACCAAGTTCAGGGGATGATAACGTATTCTATACTTGAATTTAGTGATATACCTTATTTCAGTGTTGTAATAGGTGATGTATTTATCATAAATTAAAACTTTTTGGAGGTACTATGTTTTAGTCAGTAATATTAGTTTTAAATTTCAGATCCTTGTGATCAATTAAATACGTTAGTAAAGTAAGACACAATGAATTTAAGTTTTATAGTAACCATATGTTTTAAAAAGTAAAAAGCATCATGTTTAATTTAGTCTGATATACTTAAACTGCTTATTATATTTTTTTCCCTAAACTAAGTTCAAAATATGGTGGTGTTATACATTTATCTGATGGTATTGTACCTAATTTGGCTTGGCTATGTCTTAGGGATCTGATTGACACACAGCAGCTCTTTGCCATGTTGAACAAAGTAGGGTAAACTAGGACTAGATTCTTTTGTGGAAAGTGTTTGAAACTGAATAATACTTGAAGCAATTTTTCAACTAATGTAAATTAAAAATATTTCAAATTGATATGTAGCATACATGTAGGAAAATACAAATTATAGTTGTAGGCTTGACTGTGAAGTAAGCATAGCTGTATGAACTACTACCCTTATCTACTCTCCTCTTCCCCACCAGTCAAATGCGTGGTATCTGATAATGCCAAACAGGGTCATGACCCACACACAGGTTGAGAACCACTGCATTAAGGACTCTTCTTTTGAAGAATTGCGTGCATGTTTACTGTATTATAGTGAAGTTGAAGAAATTATTCATATTTTATTTAGTAACAGACGATACTCAGTGCTCTGAGCTTCAGCCATTAGTCAGGATTGCACACTTTTGCTCTGTCCTTTGTATATGACTCTTGGAACACATGGGCATGTTTGTGGGTTTACAGTTCGGGTACAGGTTGATCCTGAGTTGATGAATGTGACAAAAAACCTGAATAAAATGTTAACCATAAGGAGTGTAGAACTTTCTATGCATTACAGAAAATTTAGAAAAATTTGTGTCTTTATCCTTTTGACAAGTATGGTTCATTCTTTATTCTTTTGTAATAGCCACATGCTAAATGCCCTTTATGCAGAAACAGTATACATGGAGATAATTTATTAGAATGCCCTCCAGAAGAATTGGCATGTGACGGTGAGAAAAAATCCAAAATGGAATGGACATCCAGTTCAAAGGTAAAGTGCCCATGTGCACATATTGTAGTGTTATTTCATATTCAATGAGGAAATGTCATATAGTAAAATAGTAATTGTAATTCTGTTTTAATCTGTCATTGCTTATTATTTTGGTGCTACAGGCTTATATTTATATTTAGTGTTAAATTTAAGTTGGAAAAGAAAGGGATTTGGATTATTATGGTATTTTTTTCTTGTCTCTATTCTTTTGCTTTTTAGTTAAATTATATGAAAACCTTTCAGTGCTGGGATTTGTTCAGTGAATGCTGCATTATGAGAACTTGATTAAAATTAGTCTGTGCTAATAAATTTTTAAAAACTAGAATATTTGGACTTACCTTACCAATTGAGATATAATCTAATAGATATGATTTTTATTTTTCAGATTAATGCTCTAATGCATGCTTTGATTGAATTACGGACAGAGAACCCCAACATAAAGAGTTTAGTTGTTTCTCAGTTTACCACATTCCTGTCTTTAATAGAAACACCACTTAAGTAAGTTTAACATTTTTTTTTTTTTTTTTACTTCAGATGGGAGGATTATTGTATGTGTGTGTATTGATAGCAGAAACAATGCTTTAATGTTTTATAGGTTTAGTCATTTCATCGGTTTAAAATGATACTCAGTGTAACTACAAAACTTCTCCTGAGTATAATATCTTAAAATTAAGTTCTGACTTTGTTTGGCAGATGGCTAGGTGCTTAGTAGGCATTTGCTTTATTGAGAAATGAATGTGTAGTGACTGGGAAAGTGCTTACGTAGCTTTGTGCAAGGCCTTGGGTTTAACCGATCTTCAGTACCACATAAATTAATTAGTGAATGAATTTGGTTTAACTAAAATTTGTATTAATTTTTAATATTTTTTATAGTATAGTATTACCTGTCTGTCTTCTTTTTCCCATTAGAGACTCGGGATTTGTGTTTACTCGTTTAGATGGTTCCATGGCTCAAAAGAAAAGAGTTGAGTCAATTCAAAGTTTTCAAAACACAGAAGCAGGATCTCCCACTGTAATGCTACTGTCCTTAAAAGCAGGTGGAGTTGGCTTGAATCTTTGTGCAGCTTCTCGGGTGTTCTTAATGGATCCAGTAAGTAATTACATAGACTTTTCAAAATGTTGTCCTCTCACCCCCAAACAAAAAGAAAGAAAGGAAAAAAGGAAACAAAACCTGTTTGGTAGATGCCTTTGTAGTTACAATTAATTGTGGTAAAAGTAATATGATCCTTATTTGCAGATGAGGAAACTGATGCACCCAAGAGTAAATAAAATTAAACAGTGTGCCTAGTATCACACAGTACTCTGTAAAACCAGTGAGATTCTTAGTTCTTAAGTACTATTCTGTGCACTTCTATTCTTCTGAATACATAAAACTTGCCTGTTACAATGTTTTTAGATGAAGTAAGCAACAAACTAATGAGATCTCGCTTTGTGTTGTATGGTCAAGGCAGTGTGAATTTGACTATAAATCAGACATAGTGGCTCCTTTTGTGATGCCACCTCTAATTTGCCTAAGAATTAGGTCACATTCAATTTTAAACCTCTTTCTTCTGAGACTTAGGAGTTCCTGGAGGAGACCTAAAATGAATAGTTTAGACATGTATCCTGGCTGATTCAGGTTTAGCTGTCCATCAACATGTTCTGGTTAAGTTTTACTAGCTGATAGAGTGCAGGCACTTGTGGTTGTATAATTTAGATCCTAGAGATAAGAGAGCCACAATTCACTGCACTTTTCTCATTAAAACAGGATCTGTCATTGAACCTGGAGCTTGCCATTTTGTACAGACTTGTTGGCCAGTGAGCTCCTAGAATCCACTTGTCTCTGTCCCCCAATACTATTCCAAGCACATGGAGCCATACCCATCTTCTCTGTGGGTGCTGGGCATTTCACATCGAGGTCCTCATGTTTCCACAGCAAGTTTTCATACCACTAAGCCACCTCTAGCTCTTGCTTTTATTTTTTAAGAATCTTCGATTTTAACTTTTTTGCCCTCCCCTTTTCCTCCCGTATCTCAGTCCTCCTGTTCTCTCCTGTTCTCCTCCTTCTCCCTCTTCTTCCCCTCCCCCACCCTGCTCCCAATTTGCTCAGTAGTTCTTGTTCCCCTCCCTTTCTTTGGGGGACCATATGTTCTTCTCTTGGTATCCTCCTTGTGTCCTAGTTTCTCTGGTGGTGTGGATTGTGGTGTCTTAGTCCTTTGCTCTATGTCTAATATTCATATATGAGTACATACCATGTGTGTCTTTTTGTGACTGGGTTACCTTACTCAGGATGTTTTCTTCCAGTTGCATCCATTTGCCTTTGAATTTCAAGATTTCATTGTCCCCCACCCCCCTGAGTAGTACTCCATTGTATAAATGTATCACATTTTCTCTATCCATTCTTCAGTTGAGGGGCATCAAGGTTGCTTCCAGGTTCTGGCTATTACAACACTGCTATGAACATAGTTGAACATGTGTCCTTGTTGTATAAATGTGCATTCTTTGGGTATATACCCAAGAGAGGAATTGTTGGATCTTGTGGTAAACTGATTCCCATTTTCCTGAGAAACCACCATACTGATTTCCAAAGTAGCTGTACAAGTTTGCACTCCCACCAGCAATGGAGGAGTGTGGCTCAGCCATTAAAGGCTAGGCTCACAACCAAAAAATATAAGAACTCATGTACTTTTAAAGTTTATTTTGGAAGTCCTACTGATTTCAAACACAGATATACACAGATATATATATATATATATATATATATATATATATATATATATAAATTCTGGCTTCAACAAGTCTGAAAGAGCTTTTAGAACTTTTGACTACCCTTGAACCTTTTTAAAAAGTATTTGTATTTTATCAATGGAGAAAAGAAGACCAGCACAAGAAGAGAAACTTTTTTCATATGGGGGGGTCTAAGAATGACATCTTTTCTGTGGTCTTTTAAGCCATCTGAAAATGCATAGTTTTTCATTTTACACTGAAAAGTCACAAGGTGTTCTGATCAGTTGGCAGGTTATTATGTTGCTGCTGCCACACCAGTCAGACTTTTGTTGGGCACAAGTTGAACATTCCTATCTGATATACTCTAAAACTTGGATCTTTTTGAGTACTGACTCAGACTTCAAAAAATTTTGGACTTTGGGTTTTTGGATTATGAATCTATGCAGACATTCCAAAATCTGAAACATTGAATGTTAAAACATACCAGTTGTAAACATTTCAGATAAGATCCTCATTTACTGCTGAAGTGGATAGAATGCAGTATGTGGGGAGAGGGCTGCCTGTCTTCATAGTGATTGGTAAATAGCTTTCTGGCAGGGACATGTGTAATGTCAGTGTTTGAATTCAATTAGAAAAGGAGGGATACATGCATACTGAGATGAAGGACTAGTGCAGAAACCTCACACAACAGAGCAGCAGTCATACAGTCATCTTCTTCCTAGGCCTGGAATCCTGCTGCAGAAGATCAGTGCTTTGACAGATGTCATAGACTTGGCCAGAAGCAAGAGGTTGTCATCACAAAAGTGAGTTTAAAGCTACTTGTTTTAAGATTATGTTTGCTTTTTAAAAGTAACACAGGCAATATATGAATGTATTACTGCCTTGATTGAAGTAGAATTGAGAAGAAAATGTAAAATTCACCCTTTTTTCTCTTTCATAGTTTCAAATATGTTCCAAGGTTTTTTTTTCCCTCTGTAGTTACATAAATTCTTATTCATGTATATATCTCAACATAAAAGAAATGAAAGTGGGGTAATATTATTATAATTTATTCTTTTCCCTTAAAAATGTATTGAAGATTTACTGTCTATATGCATTTAGATCAACACTGTCTTCCTGTGGTAAAATGTGTGTACAGTTTATCATTACAGTCATTATTTTAAACACATAGTGCTTTTGCATTAGGAATACTCTACAGTGTGTAATTACTAGCACCATCCATCTACAGAACTTCTCTGTCATACCAAACAGAATCCTTCTATATTTGTGTTATACTCCTTTACACTCCCCATTGCTCTCCACTACCCAGCCACTCACAGCAACCATTCTGCTTGGTGTCTGAATCTGAATCTTCATTAACACCTGCACACAGATCCATCATGACTAAGTAGCCTTAAGCTTTTTTATAAAATCAGTATTGTTATGCAAGGTGCTATACATACATCCTTGTGCACATATACCAGTATTTCTTCGTGGTAGATTTACAAAATTATATTTGTGGATTTAGAATTGATATTAAATAACATCAAGTTGCCTTCAGTTTAGGGCATGTAATGCTTCTGGTGATGTAGCTCAAGGATAGAGTGCTTATCTAGCCTATAGAAGGCCTTGGGTTTGATCATTAACTAGCATTACAAAACAAAAAGCAAACAGTAATAGTCTTTTTGATGTATGGAATAATGTAAATGTATGTGATTATAAAATAATAAACATGTACTAATTTACATTTACCTTAAACACAGGCCTTACATATTGTTCATATGTCTGAGGTTCATGGCTGTTTTTTCCTGTGAAATACTTGTTAATTTCTTCTTTGATTTTGCTAGTAGTACAAATAGTTTTATAGAGTCAGAGACTTCTTTTTCCATTTTGATTCTAGTTTATTATATATATTGGAAGTGGTTTATCCCCAGCTCTTGTCTGTAAAGTTTCTGAGCTTTTAAGAAAAAGTTTTAAATTTCTGATTCAAATGTGTTCTACTTTTATTTGAACATATTTATTATTCAAAGGCTTTTTTTTTCCCTGTAGTTACAGAGCAGTGAGCATTGAGAACCCTTTACCTTATCCTTGGCTTATATTAGGTTTTAATGTCTCAGGGATGGAGGCTTTATTTTCACTTTTAAAAAAGTTATTCTGTATTTACTTATGATTCTTTTGGAAGATACTATATTTTGGGTTGTTTTGAAAACTCCATAGTCTTTCCTACTAGGAAATGTGCATAGGGTTCTATTTCTTGTCCATTCTCTTTCACTGATGTCTTCCTGTTCTTGGAACAATACTTTATGATTCTTTTTCCTTTTTACAAAGTATGTTTGTGTTGGGAGCTGTAGAGATAGGTAGCTCAGTAGTTAAGAGTGCTTGCTGCCTTTTAGAGGACCCAAGCTTGGTTTGCATCCCCCAGATCAGGCAGCTCAGAACCACCCCCAGTTTCAGAGGATAATCCAACATGCTCTTCTGGCTCAGCACATTATACATAAACAAAAATAACTTAAGAAAAAAGTATGTTTATTTGTATACCAGTATGTGCATATGGAGGCCAGAGGACAACCTAGGGTGTTGCTTCTCAAACACTATATACTCCCCTCCCCTCTCTCTCAATGGATTTCACTGGCTTGGACCTTAGTTGTGTGCCATCACTGGGATTATGATAAGCATATTGTTCCATGTCTGAGTTTTTTAATGTGGGTTCTGCAGCTTGACTTAGGGTCTACTGACTGAGTCTACAAAGTATGTTTAGATATCTGATAGAGTTCTCTTTAATGTTCATTTTGAAAATTGTATTAGTTATCACTGTTACTATTGCAAATTTGAAATCTACACTATTATATCCCACTTGAGGAATATTGTTTAGGATTTACTAAATTTATAATTCTTTTGATAACTGTCATCTTTAGCAATAAGAAATGTTCTGAATAAAACATATTTAATAGTATATCTAGTTTTTTTAATGTATTTTAGTAAAGTTGTATGATACAACTTCCTTTGTTATTGCAGCAACTAAGACATTTTACATTATAGTGTTTGTAGGAACACTTTGTTATTTCACATGAAATGTTTGCCTACAAAGTTTCTAGTAGAGATCTTGAGTAAGACTTGGACATGCCTTTTATTCCTAGGTGAAAATTTTATTACCTTTAATATTTTTATCAGAAATGTTGAATTTTTCAACTTTCTTAATCATCTTTTGCCATATTGGCACGTACCTCCTCATGTACATAAAGACTTTCATTGTGGAAACTTCATTTGACTCCTAATATAATGCTAAATTCATTTTGATAATTTTCTAGCTTCAGGATACCTCTATTATTTGTGTCTGTGATTTTCTCATGTGATGGTAGGGGTGGTATAACTTTTGTGCTCTCAGCTATATTCTTTGTACAAGAAAATGACATTGGTGAGAAAGGGAAGCCATGCTTAGCTCTTGTATATGTTGTAAATATCCTCATTGTATGTTAAGGAAAGGACAGAAGATAGATGTATGTATGTATGTATGTATGTATGTATGTATGTATGTATGTATGTATGTATTTCTAACATACACCATAAAATATCCTAGTTACTTCAATAACAAAAGCTGTATTATAGCTGAACCTATTTTTAATGATACTTCAAATAGCAATAAGTTCCATTGTAAACTGGCCTGAAATATATCTATATACATATATATGTATCTGTGTATGTATATACATACGTGCAATCATTTGACTTTGAAATGTGGGATTGTTGAAATATAAATTTTTTTAAAGGTGGTATGTTTATTCTTTCTAACTTTAGTGGGCAGTGTTGTTACCATGTTTCTTGTGTGGCTTAGGAATAGTCTAATTAGTAAAGTTTTTTTTTAAGAGAATTGAAAAAAAAAACTATTTTGTTACCCGAAAAGTTCTTAACCAACTTCATTTGTTTTTCTTTTCGAAGTTCATTGTAAAGGATTCTGTCGAAGAAAATATGTTGAAAATACAAAACACAAAAAGAGAACTTGCAGCTGGAGCTTTTGGAACTAAAAAAACAGATGCTAATGAAATGAAACAAGCTAAAATCAATGAAATCAGAACTTTAATTGATTTATAATTTGTGGGATTTTTGTAAGGTCAGTTCAAGCAGATACCTAAGTTTTATACATGAAAAATACAGATTTAAGAATGAGATCTAGAAAATACTCTATTTGGCATATTTTATATTAATAAAGTGATATAACTGATACATCTCTTCTACATATGAATCTTATTTTTAATGATAACTTCAGATAGCAATAAGTTCATTGTAAACTGCCCTGAAAGAGGGTGTCATAGAAGTCTTTTGCTCTCCAGCTTTGCATAATGCCTTTGCATTCCTGCATCTCCCATGTATTCCACATCCTCATTCTTTTGTTTTTCCATTTGTTCACATTTTATTGGTGACAAAAAGCTTAAAACAAATTTGACCAAAAATTAAGTTCCATTGAGTTGGTGCAGGTGTGCCTGGGTAGGGGTCGGTTAGCCACTGCAGGAGATTGGGGGCCAGGGCAGAGCGTCCAGCAGTGAGGCCTCCACCCACCATGGGGAAGAACCCGAGGGCCTGCAACTTCTGAAGCTCAAACTGGAAAGAAAGCCTCTGGCCATGGTGCAGGCGGTGACCCCAGGGTGCCACATGTTCATTCTTAAGTGTGGTCATAGCTTATACATTTGACTAACTAGATCAGTTTTTGTTGCAAATATTTGGTTATTCACCAAAGCCTTTAATTGGTGATTCAGTGGATCCACCGTCCTTGTAAATTATTAAGAAATATGTATACAACCTATAAGAAGGATTTTATTGGATGTTCAAAAGCTATAGTTGTATCTATAACCAAACCTTAAATCAAAGACCAAAGTTCAAGGGAGCAAGTTAATTGCAATTTTTATAGCTTCATTGAGATGTAATTTATATATGTGACTTGCAGTATATATTTTGAAAAAATTAGGGACCTCATCAAAGATGTATGTCCGTTTTTAGTGAAGTGGTACTACATTCATTATTTAAATGCAGTGGTGGAAGCATAAGGTGTAAATAGTCTGTAGGGGTGAGGGAACCTGTTCTACCCAGCTTGTTTTGAATGTTTAAATTACGTGTTTCAAATAAATACTTATATAAATTGTTTTTACTTATGGTTTCTGGAAATAGCTTTATACATTTTTATCATACAGAAGACTGCTCTACATGTGAGAGGCATGACAAGTCAGGATGGATGTTGGGCTGGATGACCTCCAAAATCCTTTCAACTTTTCCTCTTTTCCTTTTTTAAATTTAAATTAGAAACAAGCTTGTTTTACATGTCTATCCCAGTTCCCTCTCTCTCCCCTCCTCCCCTGCTCACCACCAGTCCCCTATTCCATCCCCTTTCTGTTCCCCAGGGAGGGTGAAAAACATTGTGATCTTGAATGTAAAACTGACTTTGTGTATTTAAAATCCATTTAATTTTGGAATTTCACTAATCCATACATTTTTCTTAACCCCCTTTTTTGTTAATAAGAAAACTTACTAGTTGCCACAAAATTATGATGACTTTGAGTCATATTTAAAATGAATAAGCAGTCAGGTTCTGTAATTGGTAGTTTTATTTTCCTGTGGATTTTTTCTTTAAATCCGGGTAAGAGAAAAGCCTCATGGCTTATGGTACTGAAGAACATTTGAGATTTTATTTATGCTACCAGAGACTTGACTGAAGAGATGATAGGTACCAGTCTAAGGTGTATACCATATGTTGCACCCTGTAAGTCCTCTCCAATCTTTTTATTTCTCCAAAGGAACAGGATTAGCCATTGAGAATCTTGGTACCATTCCTCATAGTAACAGGTGAGGCAGGCATGGTTTTAGGGAAGACATTTCTGCAGGGGTGAAAGTGGAATAACTGCGATTGGCCTGCTAAGGTCAGGAGCCCTCGAGAGATTTTCTACCTTGTAGGACTAATTCACACACAAATCCAGTGTCAAATCCGGGATTAAGGTTCTGTAGTACCCACACAGTGAAATTAAGTATAAAGTGTTTCTGGCCCAAACAAATAAGAAAGAAACCAGCTTACCTGTTACCCAGCTTAACTATTTTAATTATAGATAAACTCAGGCTCAGAAGTGAAGGCAATGTGCTGCTTACCCAGAAAATTACAGTATTGTGATTTAAAATATATTCATAGCAATCAAATTTGTCAAGCAATTCTTTTAGTATATTAAGTAGTATTAATAAAAAAGTTAATTCAAGATATATAAACCACTGGAATGAAAAATTTTATGCTATGCTGTCTTATTACTTAGAAATATATTGAAAATACTGTATTTCTAATTGTGTTTCAAACTGGATTTTTCTTTAATTTTAAAATCAATAAAAGCTAAAAAAAAATTTACTTTCCTTGGTATCATCATTTAGTGACTATTTTCTTTTTCACAGAAAAAAATTGTTTCACTTTTATAAATGTTTGTTGCACATTTTTTCATTGAGTCACTTTAAAAAGTACTGTTACTGTAATTTACTTATTCACATTTAAGTTTTGTACAACTATTGAAATTCTCATTCAGATCTTACTTGTATATTTGAGGTTTATATAAAATAAATTGATCTGAAATACTGGGTTCCACTTAATTTTAAGAACAGTGGGAATTGTTAAAATAACAATGTGTACTAAATTATTTTGTTCTTAAAAATTATACTTTTGTGATTAGAAATAATCCTATTTATTAACAGTGAGTATATTGCTCACAAGGGGATAGAAATGTAAGAGCATATTTATTACTTCCATAAATGTCCACCTTATAATTTGAGTTACTGCCTCTTTTATACATCTTATTACAAACTTTCAGATGTTTTTGGGTATTTTGAAGTTTGAGCTGCTTGAAAACAATTTTGTAAGATTTTTTTCAGTAAGGTTTAATTAAGGCATCTTTGAAAGATGAAGGTCATGGAAGATGAAGCCTACCAAAGAAATAGTAGGCTACTTCGTGACACTGCAGCCACATGACTTGGTATACCTTTATATACTTTTTCTAACTCTAATAACATCAACAGACTTCACTAAATACCTATTATGTAAAATCTAAACATCATACCAGCTTTTTCACCTTAAAGCTTAACTTATGCTGTATTAAAAATAGAGAACAAACAAGTCAGCACTTGATTTCACAGAATTTGATGTTTATAAATCTTTTCTAAAAAATATTTCCAATCGTACTGTTTCCTATGCACTTTATTTGGATTACGTATTGCTTAGACACAAAAATAAGGTGGGATTCTGTTTATCTCTAGCAAAAAGGAAGACGAATATGACTTTGCCAAATTAACTAGAGGAGGTTTGTGATTCCATTATATGATCTGGCCAGTGGCAGAGCCATTTCAGTCCTTTAGGTAAATATCTCTTGTACTTGAAGATCACAGCAACTCATTGTCTACCAGTCCAAGTGTCTGAAGATATTTTATCACTAATACAATTTTAAGTAAGTAAGTTAAGGAGTTCGTATTACCAGCCTCTGAGTTGCTTCCTAGTCATTCTTGTCTTTAGGTATCCAAACCCATACAGATTAGGAATGACTCAGATATCTATAGGATATTACAGAAGGAAGATAGGGACCATAAAAGTGAGGGCATAAAAGCTGTTGCAGCTTCTGTCAATTAAATCTTGTTTTTCCCATTTATATTCTCTGTTTTCTTCAGCTCAATTATTTGTGATACCTTATAAAAGATTGTTTTAGGCCCCACTCTTCACACCTTGCAAACCTGTTGCAGCCTACACTCTATTGTTGTGATGGGTCATTGCTCTAGGGTGACTGAATGAATGCATAGATTCAGGCACCCAGAAGTCTAACAAACCTATGTTGTAATTTATTTATTTTTTTTTTATAAAAGGGAGATCATTGGTCCACCATAGAGCCAGATAATTCTGAAAGATTACTGAGTATACTAATTACTGACATGGCCTGATAATTTAAGGTTTCAAGAGTCAAACTATCTGAATACTCACCAAGGATGTGATTTTTCTATACTGACCAGATCTGTCACAATCATTGGAGAATAGATTTAAATGTCTTAGATAATTTTAGAAACATATACCAGTACGAAGGTTTGTATTTTTGAAACTGACCTGTTGCACAAATTTTGAGAAATTACTGAATGATTTTTTTCCCCAAGGGTGAGGTAGAGAAGTACTTAAACAACCAAGATATGTCAATAAGTCTTTATTTGTTATATATGGTTAACCATCAGAGAGAGCACACTGCAATTTTCAAGTAGACAGAACTGAAAAAAAGTAAGTCTGCATGCTGTCTTCATGGTGCATAGAAAACAGGTGAACTAACACTAGCTGGTAGACTTATAAATCACTCCACTGTGTTAATAAAGGCTGTTTTAGCCTGGAAATGGAATTAACTCTCTGACAGGCTTTGGGCAATTCTAAATTGCCGGTCTAGTGAGGGGTATAACAAGCAAATATGGGACAATGTCATATTTTGTTTTGAAGTGAGATAGATGGAGGGTCAAGTTCTTCAACTTGAGAAGCATCTTAGTAACTTAATGTTGGCTTTCCTTTGCCATATATGTTGGCAACTGAAGAAATTAGAGTTTCTGGAAAAAGTCGAGGGTTAAACAGAACTTATCCATATAACAGAATTACTACTTCATAACATCTGACCATTTCTCATCTTTTGTCCTGCCCAAACCCTCATCTGGTGAGGTATAGTGAAAGCCTCTAACAACTGAAACAGACTTTTCAGCCAGCTTCACATACTATAAGTATCAGATATGTGCCTAAGACGTGGATGTGTCCACGGGGAAATGGCAGTGCTTCTATTGTAGGTAAGTGTCAAGTTTTCTCTTGATGTTATCAAAAGAATCTGCTCCCATGTAATCAGCCTGGCCCTGTTCCCACCGCTCCTTTCTTTCTTCTGAGGACATAGACGGTTGTGGTGTAGCTGGGGCTTCCCCAATGGACAGGTGTGACAAAGCTCCTGAGACATGTTCCTAAAAGAGAGAGTCATCAGAGGCACCTTAATAGCTGGACTTCTGATGAACTTAAAAAATACAATAAACAGACCATGAGAAAAGCCAAAATGAGTCATCATGCAAAAACTGAAAAGCATTACACAAAACAAACAACAAAAAAGACAAGAATACAAGGGCCATATGATTTTTTTTTTCCCTGAAAAAATGAAGACTTCTTGACTCAGTGAAAACATTGGGAGAACAAAGTAATTAGGGTTAATGTTTAAGTTCT